ACACTAGCCCCCTCTATCAGTGGCTTTTGTTGCTCCGCCTATTATCACGCACACACACGACCGTACCTGCAAAAAGTATGCGCAGCATGTGTGAAAGAGAAAATTTCCCACTCGGCAGCATCCTTTTTTGTTTCGCAGATTGCTTTATCATTTCTCTTTACTGCTATTTTTTTTTTTTTTATTTGCTTCTGCTGCTGGGTGTATTTTGTTCACTGCAATTAAGCCAAATGGTTCCACAAGTGAGTTGCTGCACATTATTGTTGTTGTTTTTCAGATTAAGTGCGAAACGGCAACACTTCTCACACCGGCGTCGCTAATTCCGGCGCCCGGCCTGGCTCGGCCCGGCACGCCTGGCCAGAGTCGTCGTTCGCCCTGGCATTCACGGGTTGGCTGACAAAAAGCTAACCACCAGCTGACCGCCCAACTCGCCCAGGGAGTAGAATCTCTGGCTCGTGTGGGGGGCTTGTCTAATTTGCTGCTGTTTTGCTAGCTCTATGGGGCGTATGATTTATTAAGTATCCGTCCTGCCTTTCTCGTGCTCTCTCCCTCTCTTTTCACTACTTACATTTTGATTACAACTTTCCGTTGTGTCTGCCTGTCTGTTGCGGCTTTTTATGACTACATTACAGTCGCAAGCTGTTGCAGATGATGTGCCACCGCTGGCTCCCCCCTCTCCTCTCGCAGCCTCGCTCACCCAACTTTTAATCCACCCACTATATTTATCACACTCTCACACTATATCTTCCTGTCCCCCCACCCACTCTCACTCACTCACTCACACTTACTCACTCAATCTCTTTTTGGCGCTCTCTCTCATCTTTTAATTAGTTAAACATTGAGTTGCTTCCGGTGGAGTGGTGGAGTTTCTTGACAGGATTTTTGGGTTGTTGACTTATATTTTGAATTTAATTTGCAAACGCCTCTTCTCCAGATGGGGAGGGTGGTTGGATATTTCGGTGGGTGGTTGCGTTGGTTGGCTCCTTGCATTTACAAGAATAATCATCAAAAATGTAAATTTATGTTTGCATCCAAGCGATTTATTATCTCTTTCTCTCGCTCAATTTTCGCCCCTGTCCTGCTCGTTTGGCTTTATTTATGACTCCCGGATTTCTTCGGCTATACGGCTTACAGTTATTAAATTTTCTCACTTTTATTTTATTTATTTGTTGTATTTTTTTTTTTTTTTGGATTCGTGCAAGCGACGGGGCGGCATCATCAATTCAGTGCAGCAATCTAGCTGCAATGCAACCATATTGTATTGCTTTTTGAAATTTCCTTTTATTATATTTTGTCTTTTCTTTTTTTTTTTTTTTATTTTGATTGCTGCAATTTTATACCCTCTATCTGGGGAAAAGTATATCATTGAATGAGGGACTTTCATGCCCGGGAGTGTCAAGTCTCAGATTGCTTTGTATTTTTATTAAAGTTTATTTCTTTCTTTGAGAGAAGAACGAATAAAATCCATAAAAGCTCACACTGCATAAATTTCAAAATTGAGGAAACCATAAAAATGCAATAATTAATTTGGTGAAAATTTAAATAATTTATTCTTGTTCCGTATGTGTTTCAAGATAAAAATACACAAGAAACCACAAGGTAGATACATACAATGATTTATTTTTGGCAGTTTCTATTTTAAAGTTAGATCAGATCAAGAGATCGAATATTTAAGGTGATATTTTATGTTTGAAAAAAGGTGGACCTTATCGATATATCATATAGGATGTCAAAGATATTAATACTTAATGGGATATTTTCGAAATTCTTTCTTTTATTCTAAAATTAGATCAAATGGAATGCTTTAGTGATCGAATTCTATAAGAGATATTTGAAATTTAAAAGTAGGTCATTTGGTTATAGATAGATCTATAGGATATCTAAGATATTGATATCTTGAAGTGATATTTCCAAGATAGATCAGATGGATTATCTAACAGATGGAAGTGAATACTTTAAGTGAATATGAATATATCATATAGGATATCTAAGATATCGATACTTGTAGTGATATTTTCTTGTAATAGCATTTCCCTATTATTGTTTTAATTTCCATTTCTTTTCGGCTTACAGCATTTTTCCTCATTGAGCGAAAATTAACACAATTTTCCATGGCGTGTTTGATGGTCTGGCCCATTTGTAACAAACCCGGCGGTCGACGGGCTTCCTCCTCCTCCTTCTCCGCATTTCTTCACTCTTTCTTCTCTGGCAGGAGAAACTAGGAAGGGAAAGGGCAACCAATTTCTGCAATTGTCTTTGGACCCATCAACCTCACTATCCAAACCCACCCAGTCCCAGCCACCCACCAAGACCAAGACCTAGCCAAGACGAATCGAACCGCGGGCCATAGGTTGAAGTGGATTGGAATGATTAGTGCTAGTAGTGGTGGTTGCTTGAACGGGTTGGGATGGCGGGAACTGGCGGGATTATTTCATTTATCTTGAACTAATCTTTCAATTGTGTGGCTTTTCTGGGTTATTTGTCTTTGCGAGATTACTGCAGTTTCGCAAGACAAATAAGAACTTGGATGGTTATGTCATTTGAATGAACTTTACGACCTCATCTTGCCAAGCGACCCCCTGGCAAGTCCTTGCGCCACCAATATGTGGATGTACATACACATGTGATGTGATGTGTCCTGCCCGGGGGAGGTCCTTAAGCTTCAAATCTCTTAGTCTCTCTGTGGATTACAAAGCCAAAGCCGGCGTTGTTTTTAATTACCGATTATGCGAGGCAATAAATTTTTAATCCAATTCAAGCCGATGACGAGATACATCCGCATCTCTAGCTTACACCCGTTTCTCTGTCTGACTGGCTTTATAAATGTTATGAAATATTTTTAATTTCGGGGAATGCAGTACTGGTAATTGCTTTGTTTTGTTTGGTTTTTTTTATTTTCAACCTTAGACACAATCAATAGATTTAATTGTATTTCACGGTACTCCTCCTCCAATTAAATTTACATTTTAAACTTGAACCAATCAGTCAGCTAACGATTATAATTAACATTTAAATAGGTATCACTTGATTATAATTTGTGTCAGGTCCGTAATGCCGACGGCATTTTTTCATTGAGATGTTCTCATGTCGCTAATTAAAATGTTATGTGATAACCATCCTATAAACTTTTTAGGAAAAAAAATGTGTTAATCAGACCTTATTATAACAAATCCTTAGCCTTTCGTTTGGATATTTGGATATTTCATAATAAAGATGTATCTTTTTTCGACACATGTGTGTCTGCACTTGGATGATACTTGACTTTTTTTGTGGACTTGGCTTGTTGTTTACAAATCGTATAACAAATCGTTAGCATCTTTCAGTGGTGTTTTTTTTATATTTCTACCAAGTCGTTTGTCATTTATTTATTCTGTGAGACGAATGGCTCAATCGTCTTGGAAACGGCGGGGAAATAAGGGTTTTATATTATCCGCCGTGACGAATGCTAGGTACTCCGGATTTGAACATTCATTAGTTACGGTTCTATATTAGTTTATTTATTTATTTGTTTTCCGGTACTTGCCCAATGGCCCATTATCTGAATTTATGTATCTCGGCGTATGAATCTTTGAGGCCTTTAACTGCAATTGTCATTTACACTTGATGTCTTTTGGTTGTTGGTCTGTGATGTTTGCTATTTTTTTTTGCCCCTCTTTGGAGATTACAGTTTTTCTTGTTTTTCGAGGTTTTTCTGGGTTTTTGGCCAACTTCTCCACCTCACCGCACTCTCATCTGTTATGCGTTGTCGGCTACTTTTGCATTCGAAATTGTTCAGATTTCCGCTACAAACCCGCTCGTCGTCGTCTTTCGTTCGAGGTCTGTGCGCATAAATTGCCGCCGGTCCTCATGTACGGGTTTTATGTCATTTTCGGAACTGTATTTGCATTGCCGCCACAACCACCAGAGAGCAGCATCGTATCTCGTATCTTGGACTTCAAGCACATGGCCAGCCCAGTCCCAGCTATATGGGGTTTTTCGCAGCTTATCGATTGCTTCTTTTGAAATTGTATTGTATCTGAATGAGACACACTCTCTGCTTTCCCTTTGCTGATTTCTTTCTTTTTCTTTTGTTTTTCCCTCTTTTTTTGGGGTCTTTCTTTTTAAGATCTTGAACTTGTTAATTGAGTTTTTGGTTTTCTGTGTGGCGGGCTAAAGCAATTTTTCGAGTATAATGGAAGTGTACTCTTCCCATGATAATAATTCAGATCGCATGTATGTATATTTTTAAAAATATCAACCAGGATCTAAACTTATAATTGAATCTCTGTTTTAATGAAATCGCTCATTTGGAAAACAAAGGCATATTATTTGCTCCAAATCACCGCAGAAAACGAAGGTGTTGCTCAGCCGGCCCCTGATCTCCAATCCGATCCAATCCGATCACCATCCGCTCGCCGCCACCTGCGTGTGCAGACTTGGAATTCCGAGACTAACAATCAGTTTCTATCCATAAACCATTCACTCATTAATAACTTGCACTGCGGTGCTGGCTTTGACTTTCCATTCGCCGGCCAGGGCTTGGGCTTGGTTGGGCTTGGCCTTACCAGCTCTTTTTTAACCTCCGTTTTTTAACCTTTTCAATGTCAATTAATAAAATCTAAATTCGGCCACCGAACCACAAAACGAAAGCGGTATCGGGCAGTTCACTTTTTAAGGCATTGCCATTGAATTCCAGATATAGTACCTTTACAATTTTATTATCTAATTCCACCTTTCACTGTTTTTTTTTTTTTTTCTTCCAAAATATTTGATTGGCATGCCAGTCAGGTAGTCCCCTCTATTGATGATCTATTGGCCAAAGTTAATGTCATTTTGGCAATTAAATGCTTAGCTATGTATATGGGGACTGAGTGGGTGAGGGTATTACAAATAGAGGAATTAATTCGGTGAGCTTTAAGCTTGGGGATTAAGAGAAGGGATTACTTTAAGAGCCATTGTTATCCGGCTGCTCATTAAAATATAAAAGCTTACTTATTTATTTGTTTATTTCTCGGCCTTTGCAGATAAATCGCGATGATGGACTGCCGCAAGAAATCTGCCGCCAGTGCATGGCTCAGTTTCTGATGGTGGCCAAGTTCCGGCGGAAATGCGTACGGATGCAGCAGCGCCTGCAGGACTTTGCCCAGGAAATATCTGACCGTCAGGCGGCCAGGCAGGCCAAGCGAGAGCAGAAGCTCGAAAAGGAAAAGGAACGAGAACGAGAGAAGCAAAGGCAACGAGAAAGAGAAACGGAAGCGGAAACGGAATCGGAAGTAGAGCAAAAGGTGGCCGAGCCAGAGGTGGAGCTGCCAGTGACCGTTCCAGAGCGAAAGCGCCGCATAGTCTCCGAGTCGGAGACGGGCGAGAAGCCAGGAGCCATCGACAACGAAGGCGAGGATCTACCTCCGCCCAAGACCCGGCGGCTGCAGCTGCGCCTGCGTAAGCTACGCAGCGTCTCCACCGGCTCGGACGTGGAACGGCCCTCGTCGGCCACCATCGACGTCAGCAGTATGCCCTGGAAGACGAAGGCCGCCCGCAAGGAGATATCCGAGCTGTGGTCGGCCAGCCCCTGCACCACCGAACAGTCCCAGTCGCCGCCCAGCACCAGCTCCGACTCGGAAGCCCCCAGCACCCACAGCAGCGACCTGAGCGACTTGTCGGTAGGTCCTTGCCGTGGCTTCGATACCGACAACCATCCCACCTCCCCATCCATCTCATCCTCCGCCACCGGACAAACGATGTCCACCGGTTTTCTGGAGTTCCCCCGAACCGTGCCGGTCGAGTTGATGCCGCGTCGTGGCAGACGTCCGAGAAACGCCCCGGTCTACATGCCGGCCAAGAGGGCCCGGCGATCCTTCGCCAAGAAGATATCGATATCACCAGCCCAGGAGGTTGGAGCAGTTGCCGTAGAGAACACAAAGTCTGATGAAGTACAGGAAAGCCTGGCAATCGACAGCACTTGCAACGAAGTGCTCCAAGAATCATCTCAGAACCTCGTCCCGGATGACGAGAACCATCTGGAAGCTGAGATTCCAGAGATGCGCGAGGACGGTGTGGTCTCCAATGGTGTTCCCCCCAAGGAAGAGCTATCAGAATCAAATGAGTCTGAGGAGGAGAACCCCAACCCACTGCCAAAAGCTGAAGAAAGAGAAGAAGACGCTGGAATTAGCGTCGCTCCCGTGGTACAAAATGGCAATGAATCAGTTAACATAATCCCTGAATCGAGACTGTCGAATTTATCTGAAAATAGTACTGAAATTATTCCAAAGACGAGCCCCGAACCAGAATCAGAATCAGCCTCGACGGAGGAGCCGCTGCAATCCGAGGAGCTGACCTCCTCCACAGAATCGGCCGAGAAGGAGCCGAAATCCCCAGAGCAGCCGGAAATTATAGTCAGCATTCCGTTGAACGCTCTGAACGAGGACCTGCACCGCCGGCTCTGCACAGATCCGGAGACCGAGGAGGCGGATGGAGACGCCCAAAACCGCGAGACAGCCACCCCCAAGTCCGATGATGTCAACAACAATGCAAACGGTGAAAATTTTTGCCAGAGTGCTACAGCAGATAGCTTCAATTCTGCTGTGGCACTCCGAACCGACAACATTGAAGCAACCCCCCCGACAGGTGACACGGCAGCTGACGAGAATTTCCGAGCGGATGAAGTACCCCGGGCAGCCGAAACCCCTCCAGACATAGCCGAAGAAGATGATGAAGTGCAGCCGGTGCGGTCGGGCCACGCGCCCATGGACTTTATGGCCGAATTCACTAAGCACTGCGAGAACGGAGTGGAGCAACTGAAGGCCACCACTCCGGCCACATCGCCCACGCCCTCGGAACTGGAGCTGCCCCTCAACGATCTCGAAAGCAAGCAGCAACTGGAGGTGGAGATGAACGACGTGGAGAACACGCTGAATGGCATCCTCAACGAGATGCAGGACCAGCACATGTACACCCCGACCTGCTCCCACATCGACGAGTTTCTGACGCCCGCCGACTATGCCCCGCTCACCGAGCAGGAGCCCTCCGTCTCGCCACCCAACCCGGATCCCTTCAACCAGACCATGGAGGTGACCACGCCCACCAAAGCCCCCCAGGGTCAGAACGTAAACCCCTTCGATAATAGCAACTTCAGCAATGAACTGATCGGCTTCCAGAACGACATTCCTTGTTTTGAGAACATCGCGTCGTCACCGGAATCCGACCAGAGCTTGCACCTGGAGTTGACGCAGTTCTTGAAGGAGCTGCAGCCGTCGAAGGAGGAGGACTGCAAGGGGGAGGCCCAAGTGGAGATACAGGAGGTGGAAACCCAAATTCAGGTGGAGAATGTCGCTGAGAATCAGACCGAACCGGGTCAGATCCAAATCGAAGCTTGCGAGGACACGCAGATGGAGTCTCAGTCCCAAATGTTCGTCCAGACGCAGGTCTTCGAACAGAACTCGGCCGAGAATCAGTTCCAAATACAGGCCGAGGTGCCGGTTGAAGTCCCAGGCGAGCGGCCGCCACAAATCCAAACACAATCGATTCAGATCCTGCCACACATCCAGCCGCAAGTGCATCAGCAATTGCAGGTGCAGAAGCAGTCGCAGGACACGACTACGACCGTCACCTACGAACAGATCTATCAGCAGCACATTGTCCAGCAGACGGTGAAGCAGTCGTCCAACAAGGTGCAGCTTATCTCGCTGCCGGAGACGAGGCAGTGGCCGGCCCAGAAACCGCAACCGCAGCAGCAGCAGCAGCAACAGCTGCAGTGGTCGTCGGTGGGCGGGCTGGAGGCGGTGCGCAGTGCCCCCATGGAGAGTGTAGTGGCGGCGGCACCCACAACCACCACCTACTACATCAGCACAAGCGATCTGTATCCGCAGCAGCAGACCGAAACATACGCCATGCTGCAGCCCGCATCGCTGGACTCCAACGATAACTATATGCTGGAGCAGGTTAATCAGCAGCCACAGCAACAGCACCTCCACCAGCATATCCAGCGCATTCAGCACCAGCGCCCGCCGCAACAGATTCAGCCCCAGCGGCAGCAACGCCAGCCCATCATGATACTGATTCAGCCGCCGGATATTCAGCGCCCGGTGGCCTCGGCCAGCAATCCCCAGCAGGCGCCGTTGCACATCTACGGTGCTCCCTCAATCCGCAACGAGATGCAGCATCTGCAGCACGTCCAGCGCCAACGCTTGCAGCAGCAACAGCAGCAGCACCATCAGCAGCAGCAGCTGCAGCAACAGCGCCAGCAGCAACTGCAACAGCAGCAGCAGCAGCAACAGAAGCAGCTGCAAACCCGACTGATTAGAAGCCATCCGGTTGTGGGAATGCCGGGAGCCGCTTCCATCTCAACCAAAGTAACGCCCATGCCGGCCACCACGCCGGGCGGCCGGGCGTTGACACTCAAGTGCCGGTTCTGCCAGAACGGGCCGAGGTTCTCCAACAGCCTGGAGTACAGTCGGCACATCATCGACTTGCATCCGGCCGTGGCGCCCTTCAACTGCCCGCACTGCCCGCTGGCCTTCGCCGGGCGGAATAAGCGCTCCCAGCACATTCTCGACCACCATGTGGTCCAGCAGTATCAGTGCGGTCAGTGTTCGCAGGTGTTTCCCGCCCAGCGTGCGCTCGATGTCCACATTCAGCGGTTCCACATCTCGTCAAAGGCCACCACCGAGGGTGCTGCGAACGAGGGTGTTCGTGTGGAGGAGGTGCAGCTTCAGATAGCCAACGAACAGCAGCAGCAGCACGCCCAGCAGTTGCAGCAACAAAAGCTCCAACAGCAGCAACGTGAGGAGCGAATGCAGCTTTTGCAGCAACAGCAACTGCAGCAGCAGCAGCTGCAACACCAGCAACAGCACCTGCAGCAGCAACTGGAGCAGCAGCTCGAGCAGCAGCAGGAACAACAGCCACAGCAGCAGGCGATGTCGCAGCAACCGCAGTCACCGCATCCTTCGAGTAAGCTCAGTCCCTTAATCGTTCTGGTCTGAAACTAAACACGATTCTTATTTTTTTTCCACAGCCATGGATGTGCCGGCGAGCACGACCACGCCACGGAAGATACTCTGCTGTCCGGACTGCGAGGATTGTAAGTTTCCGGGGGAGGGTTTCCTGTCATTCGAGCCACCACTAAAATCATGTGACTTTGCAGGCACTTCTGGCCACAGCCACTTCGAGGAGCTGACAAATCTGCAAGCGCCACCCACTGTTCCCACCCCGCCCTCGACCATCGTTTCGGCCGCCTCCCCGCAGCCCATGATGAGCATGCCGCACATAACAATGCCCTCGCCGGAGCAGTCGGAGCCCGATTCGACCACAACGCTGCGCCAGTTTCGTAAGCGGGGAGTGATTGTGGGACCACATGGGCCGCTGCACTTAGCCACGCCTGTGGCATCACCGTCAGCATCGCCCTCGTCGTCGCCCTCGTCCTCCACTGTGGACGTGGCGCCCCCCGCCTCGCCGGCACCGCCTCAGTCGCCGGCCACGCCCAGCCCATTGCCGGCGAACGAGCTGCGAGCGACCCAGCAGTGTCAGTACTGCGAGGAGCGTTTCACCAACGACGCGAATCTGAAGAAGCACCACCAGCTGGCCCACGGCTCCACCACCACGATGCCCTTCGTGTGTGGCATCTGCAAGCGGGGCTATCGAATGCGCACGGCTCTCCACCGGCACATGGAGTCGCACGACGTCGAGGGCCGGCCGTACGAGTGCAACCTGTGCAAGGTGCGCTTCCCACGTCCCTCCCAGCTAACGCTGCACAAGATTACCGTCCACCTGCTGACCAAGCCGCACACCTGCGACGAGTGCGGCAAGCAATTTGGTACGGAGAGCGCCCTGAAGACGCACGTTAAGTTTCACGGTGGTAAGTTTGGGGCACTGACCGAGCACGCATGCGTGGATGCGGTGGCCTACTAAAGGGGTTTCTGGGCTTTCCATTAACCCACAACGTTCGAAGCGTTCTTTTATTAACGAGTTTCATGTCATCCACATTGCTAATACCTTTACTAATATCGTATTGATTGATTAACTAGTATTATCGAGCTCAAGTGCTGAAGTCCAATTAGTTATGGGCTTCAGAGGTATCAGTAACCCTTCAACTAATCCTAGAAAATTGTTATCGTTTTATGGTCGTGTTCGGACCTGGAGTATGGCTGTGTGTGCTCCAAAGGTACAAATACTAGATTTCAGGAAATCTAAATCGATTATTGCATTTGCTTCCAATAGCTTGAATTAACTGCCGTTCTGCCTACTTACTCACGCAACATTCGGATACTAACTAATCACTAACTAATACTTCGTCTTGAATAACCAAAAATTCTCAAAAATAATAACATACAACGGGATAGTTTACACGAGCTGAACTTGTGAGTCGTTAATTAGGGGTATTTAGGATTAACAATTAGATTTTCATTACCATTTAATCGACTGACCTCATCACCCCCAGAGTAATCATTTCGTAATTTAAGCGTATAAGCCTTTCGTAAACAAATGAAAACTTAATGCCGATGCCGATCGCGTACTAACAACCCTTGTACTCGTACTCGTGTGTATGATTTCAAATTCCATGTAAGAATATTTGAAAACTTCGCACATCTATATGTACGTATAATACTACTTTGTAGCTTTGGCCATATTTTCCTTCTATATAGTTTTGCATTTCCATTCTCTTCCACTTCTATGTATGCTAAAAAGCTAGTAATTTTAAAACCCGGCACCGCCGCCTACAATATTCATTTATGTGCGTTTGCAATCTTTGTGGCTACACTACTTCAGGACAGTCCACCATCGAACCATAGCGTGCGTGGACTGCTGAATTGATGATGACACCACCTCTCTCTCTCTATATTCCCAAATATGTACATAGATACACAAAGGCCAATTTCTTTTACAGAGCTCGGTTACCAGTGCGACGAATGCGATAAATCGTTTGAATATCTCAGAGAATTGCGAAAACACCGACGCACCCACACTAAGCAGTTTTACAAATGCGATATATGCCCCCGCGATTTCATGCATTTTCAGAGTTTTCGCGGTAAAGTCTCCTCCCGTCTTTAATCGGTGTTGCCAACCCCCCCCCCTCGAATATCAAATTAAATTTTTTTTATCACAAAACAACCTTATAATTTATTCCTGAAACTTTGACTCCGAAAAATCATTTGTAGTCGTCACCGAAAGTCTGCTTATCTAATTGGGTTAACCTTGACTGTTGCTGTTCCCGATTTGCCACTAAAATATATAGCCTTATTGAAATAGATGATTTACATTTGAAAACCCCACACAAGGGACTTTTGTAAATAAAGCACAAATTGTAATATTACCTGGAAAACCCTTCCGGGCTCTGCCCAAATCATTTATTTCTTTTGCTTTTTTTTTTTCAATGAATATTTTGCAGTCTTAGTTGAAATGCCTATTATGTAAACATGGTTACTCTTCAACTAAAAAATGATTAATGGGAAAAAGGCCTAACCATAATTACATAATTTATCAAGAGAGAGTCTTGTAAGAAAAGCTTTTAATTTAAACCTAAAAAAAACTGACAACTTGCTTGCCTTAGATGTCACTATAAATGATCTTGAAAATAGAATTTGATTTGATCCCCGAACGTTGGCAGCACCCCCCATTATTGGTAATAGTTTAAAGGCTGTCTCAGCCTCATGTAAATATAGATTAGGCTGCTTAACTACCTGGTGCCTGTTTTTTTGCATGGCATACAATTAGTTGCACATCATGCTTTTGAAACCCAACATGTTTGTTTAGTTTTTTTCAACAAAAATATTTGTTTTTTTACTTTCTTCAGCTCACATGAACACCCATTTGCCGTTTGGCGTGTTTCTTAACGATGATGCCACAGCCTCAAAGTCCACTAACAATAACAACAATAGAGGCATTAAGCAAGGTACACCAACCGATAATCTGGAGAATCCATCCACACCGATAGAGGAGACACCGTTGACGCCGATGAGCTGCAACGGCGGCAACGGATACCCCAGCATCGATGAATACCCCGGCTCAGTCGAGAGCTGTGCTCTGGAGTCGATCGCCCCGACGCCATAACCCATGGGGCAATCTTATTATTTAGTTTACAATACTTTAGTTCTTAGAAATTATCCAGAACCACCAGCCCGCCTAGTAACAATGGCGCCTTCCTACACTTTTGCTACTTTGGATGGCAATTATCTTCCATTTGTCCAATTGAAGTAAAAAAAAAAATCCAAAAAAAAGAACCAGCAGACTGCATTGAATGCAATCCAATATTGCACTTAACAATTTAGCTAGTAAGCCACGAGTACACTCCCTCAAAAACAAAAACACAAAATTTAAGACTAGTTAGTAAGCTAGTTAGAATTTAAAACTTTCATGCAATGAATACACACCAACCGAAATGTTAGCTTTAGGCCAAATACACGCAGACATATTTCATTTTCGTTCCCACACACTACGATTAATATTGTTTCGAAAAAGCAATTGATCAAAAAAAACACGAACAGAATAGGTTTTCTTTAGTTAGTTGGTAAAAGCGTAGACTTAAACGGAGGTCCCAACACCACTTAAACTCTTAGTTTTTAGTTCTTAGGATCGTATTACAGACTTTTGAATTACTACACACAACTGAGACTTGAATACCCAGCTCAAAAGATCTTAGTTCAAATCTACTTTACGACTTTTCATTGGGTTTTAATCAGAATAAACCGTGTTATTAATTTCTTTTTATTTATAAATAATGTAATAAACAATTTATGCGAACAAACGATAACAAAAGTGTTTTCTATCCGCTTCCTATAAGGGGGTCTAAAAATGGGGCCTAGTCATAGTACCAGTCAAGGAAGAGCAGCGAGAAGGACATGACCAGCAGGAAGAACAGAGACCACACTCTCAGTCCGGCGTTTCGTTGAGTGGCCTGGCGGATCTGCTCATTGGCGTCCTTCACGTTCTCTGTGCTGCCAATCACGGCGCTTTCGATGCGTTCGATGCTGTGTTGCTGCAATGCAAGCTAGGAAGGGAAATAGGGTTTAAAAAATGGTCCAGAAAGGGTGCATTTTAGCATTCTAACCTTTTCTGTAAATATATCCTGAAGCTGTGCAATGTCCACCACGTTTTTTTCGATCTGATCCACTTCCTCGGAGACCCCCTGCAGAAAATTGTAGATATGCACGTTTTCCTCCTCGAAAAGTTGAATGTCATCGGCACTGAGCGGATCCTCGTCGTCCGCCTCCTGCTGCGCCGTCTTCTGGATATCATCATCGAGTGCCACCTTCGCCGAGGAGTCGCTCAGACCACTTTGGTTAAGTTTGCTCCGCTTTCGTACTCGCGCCTTGTGCTGAGTGGCACTCTGTGGTATATTCTTCTCCGCCGAATGCCCGTCCGCCTCCTCTTCATCTCCATCATCCCACTCGCCCCAGCTATCGTTGTTCCAGTCGTTGTCCGCCGCCTCATCTTCAAGTCCGTTTGAAGAAGGTTCCATAGATTCTTGCTCGTCCTGGGATGTGAGACGTCTGCCCAGCTTACCGGTCGCAGGTCGCGCTGGTATTTTCTTTTTGTTCGCCGCTAACTTAAGCAGCTTGTAGGTTTCCAGCTCATGCTGCACTCGGTACTTCTTCTGATCCAAATAAATCTGCTCCACGCTGTGCAAATAGCTGACCAGCAGATCCAAAACTGCGTCGATATGCTGCCGCTCCTGGGGCTTCCGCTTGGCCGCCTTCCAATCGGTGCGCATCTTGGCCAGGTGCTGCGTATAGAAAGTTACGAACTTCTCCGACTCCCGGTCGATCAGATCCCGTTGAGCGTCTGTCATGTGAGTGGCGCTCTTCAGGTGCTGTCCTATGCGCATGTAGGCGGTCCTGTTCTCGATCAGCACATTGCGTAGGGTAGTTATTTTGTTACACACATCCTTCGCTTGCTTGGCGAAGTCATCTCTTGGACCAGTCGTCGTTGTTTTAGTAGCCATCGCAGCAGAAGTGGTTTTGGGCTTAGCGGCCGATGCAGCGGCCAGTTCAGTCTTGCGCTGCAGGCGCACCGTCATCACGCTCGCCTTAAACTGCTGCGTGATGTCCATTTTGTGTCCTAGGTCTTATTTACAAATATTTAACTTTTAAATCCACATCATCGGTCCAGTCAAGTGTGACCGTCCTGCCGAGAACCGCCTATCCCTATCGATATTGAAAGGTATCGGTAATCGATCGATTGGAAATAGTATTTATTTTTTTAGTAAAAAAGCGACTTTAATTCAATTTTAATAAAACATATTTAACCTTTTTAGGTTGAAGTTATCTTTAAAATGTAATATATTCTTTTTTTTTTACCAAAACTTTGAAATACCCGCCCAGTGTTCCATTTTCACTTTGTTCCCTTAGCCTTAGTCACAAAGTTCCAGTATTAAGCTACGGTCTTACTGAAAATTTGCAAACGCAATATTTTCTCCAAACAATCAGCAAGAAAAGTGAAAATTGAAATTAAAGAAAAATTAATGGCACACAAGCGTCTGTTTATCTACGCTGTGCTACTGGCGATATGTTATTTGGTTGGCGTGACATGGGTGAGCCCGCTAATTAGGTGGATCACATGATTCGGTCATTAAATGTTTATCCCACTGTTCCATGACACCAACAAAGGCTGAAACTGCATCACAAACATTGCCAGGCGGCAGCAGCAACCATAATGCCAGTGCCCCAGTCGCAGCAACTGCAGGGCCCGCCCCCAAAGCGGGGAGCCCCACCCCAACAGCTGCTGCACTCCCGAAGGCCAACCCGCCTACGCCCGGCCAGAGTTCTTCCAATTCCAGCACCACTGCAGCTCCGACGACAGATTGGTAAATATGATTAGGATAAGAAGGGCTATGCTTTGAAAGGAACATATTTGGCTCTCTATTGTATATTTACAAACCACATCTACCTTTTCAGTGTCTGCGCTGGAGCTCTGCTACCTCGCTTGGATGCCAATGGCAAGGAGCTGCCCATATGTGCAGAGTGCAAGTGCTCTCATCTGGCAAGGAATACGACTTTAATAAAGGTTCTTATTACAAGATATTTAAGCGTAAAAAATGATTAATTCCATCTGCAATTTTGCCTGCAGGTCGTGGTCATCATTGTGATTTGGATCATCTCCATTTTAGTGATATACATGCTCTTCCTGATGTGCCTGGACCCGTTGCTGAATAAGCGAGTAAAGGCCAACTATCAGGAGCACACCAACGAAGATGTACATAGAAAAAGTTCTAGATACGCTGGCATTCAGTATAGCCTTCTAGTTACGGCCCAGGGCGATGATAATGAAGATGAAGATTTGAATGCCGATGTGGCGCAACTAGTTGGCAATAAAGAAGCACCACACTTTTAAAAGACTTACAATTTCCATAACTCCTTTTGTTTCATTTTGTGTTTTTTGTTTCCGATTTTATATCGTTATTAGTTTCTAACCCCCTCCTCACATAGAGACACCACCACTAACCACAGAATTCAGTTTTGAGAAACCTACTACCATCAACTAATCTCAAATTTATCCACTCCTCTCCCAACCAGGACGAGCCGACGCCACCACTGCCTTCCGCTAACAACCAGGAGCTAAGCGCCAGAGCTAATGTCCTGAATCGTGTCGGTCACCAGCAGGACAAGTGGAAGCGGCAGGTGCGCGAGCAGAGACGTCACATCTACGACAGACACACTATGCTAAACTAAATGATGATTTAACTTTCCGGCGAATGGGAAACGCATGGGCGACTTAAGACACATTTTCCAAGCAGCAATCCACTAGTGAACTCATATTTTTGAACAAAATGAATGTATGTTTAGCCACAATTGTTTTAAATAAATCATTTATCCCAAATATTTAATTAATCAAAGACGACCATATGTTTATCAGAAGTTCAGTCCCTAAAACTGCCACCCATTAGAAATTAACAAAATTAAATTTACATTTTTTTGTTTAGTCACATTTATTTTAAATAATCATGTAACCAAATTACTTGAGTGACTTTAATTCATACAAAAACCGCATAGATCTAGTTGTCCTTATTTAATATCCCTTGATGGTGGAGGCAAATTTCCAGTTCTCATCAACCTTGTATGGGCCTTCCACAACGGTACCGCTGGCGGTGCTAACGCCGACTGTGTACTTCGAGGTGTTACGGGTGTCTCGGTAGTACAATACCTCCATGCATTTTCGGATCTTTAAAAAATATATAATTTTTTCAATAATTTCTAATAAAAGTTGATGGAAATAGCTTACCAATGTAGTAGCCTCCTCGGCAGTAAACTCCCTATTTGCGGGCTTGCGCTCGCGTACCAAGGGAATAGCCAAGTGGCGTGCAAAACCGGTGGCCACGACATAATCTTCGTAGAATCGTCCACGCAAGTCGACGTTGGCCAATAAGGGCTGTCCCTCTTCATTGACTCCTCCAACAACCACATCGATGAACAAGGGATTCATACGGGTACGACGATTGTAAAGCACTCTGGTCAACCACATAGCCAGCTCCTTGGGCTTCATCTCAATGTCGTCTGCGCTACATTGATCAGCGATCATCTTCTGGTCGATGGTGCGCTTGATAGACTGGATATCGGCAAAGTCATCTCCACCTCCCAGCAGGATCTTTTCGTTAATCTTAAAGACACGATCAATGCTCTGGTAGCGAGACAGGGATCCATAGGAAACCATTGTATCGGCTGCAATCATGACGCCGCCATCAAAGCGAATGCCCAAAACTGAGGATCCTGTGGTGATTCTGGCACTGAAATGGATAAATTAGAAGTTAATTCAAAAATCACTGATATATTTGGAATACTTTACGTGTTGCGCTGCGTTCCATACGGACCGGCGGGGGTCAGTTCGCGAGGCAGATTTTGGATTGGCTGCTGGCCGCCAGTGAAGTGGTAGAACTGGCCGGGGGTGGGTCCATTTTGCCACAGTGGCTGAGCCAGACCATTATAATTGTTCAGCATGTTTTTATAATTTTTTTTACAAGAATGCGGAATGAAATCTTTAAATGTTTTTCGCTAGTGGAGAATGACGGGCACAAAACTTAAAGTAGGGATGGCGAAAATATTTATTTGTATCGAAACATCGATATAAAAACATCGATTTGTATCTAAATGTTATTGGGTCACACTTCAAGTTTAAAAAACATTTGTTTGTTAAAAAAAAATTAAACCCCGATTAAAGCTCTATATTTGTTAAAATTATTATGGGTAGATTCTATTTAAAAAATATTTTTTAGATTATTTGTCCATTTTTGTGATGGGATCCCTTGAAAATGGGGTTTTCCCCTATAGGGTCCACGGTAATGCCTATATCTTCCCCAATTCTTATCCGATTCTCAAGCGGAGTACCTTAAACGATTTCTGGATCGATTCGCCATCATTCTGCATAAAAATCCTGAGACAAAATATTTTTCATATTTTTTGTCCATTTTTCGCGATGAGATCCCTTGAAAAAAGGGTTTTCCCCTATAGGGTCCACGGTAATGCCTATATCTTCCCCAATTCTTATCCGATTCTCAAGCGGAGTACCTTAAACGATTTCTGGATCGATTCGCCACCATTCTGCATCAAAATCCTGAGACAAAATATTTTTCAGATTTTTTGTCCATTTTTCGTGATGAGATCCCTTGAAAATGGGGTTTTCCCCTATAGGGTCCACGGTAATGCCTATATCTTCCCCAATTCTTATCCGATTCTCAAGCGGAGTACCTTAAACGATTTCTGGATCGATTCGCCACCATTCTGCATCAAAACCCTGAGACAAAATATTTTTCAGATTTTTTGTCCATTTTTCGTGATGAGATCCCTTGAAAATGGGGTTTTCCCCTATAGGGTCCACGGTAATGTCTATATCTTCCCCAATTCTTATCTGATTCTCTAGCGGAGTACCTTAAACGATTTCTGGATCGATTCGCCACCATTCTGCATCAAAATCCTGAGACAAAATATTTTTCAGATTTTTTGTCCATTTTTCGTGATGAGATCCCTTGAAAATGGGGTTTTCCCCCATAGGGTCCACTGTAATGCCTATATCTTCCCCAATTCTTATCTGATTCTCTAGCGGAGTACCTTAAACGATTTCTGGATCGATTTACCACCATTCTGCATCAAAATCCTGAGACAAAATATTTTTCATATTTTTTGTCCATTTTTCGTGATGAGATCCCTTGAAAATGGGGTTTTCCCCCATAGGGTCCACTGTAATGCCTATATCTTCCCCAATTCTTATCTGATTCTCTAGCGGAGTACCTTAAACGATTTCTGGATCGATTCGCCACCATTCTGCATCAAAATCCTGAGACAAAATATTTTTCAGATTTTTTGTCCATTTTTCGTGATGAGATCCCTTGAAAATGGGGTTTTCTCCTATAGGGTCCACGGTAATGTCTATATCTTCCCCAATTCTCATCCGATTCTCAAGCAGAGTACCTTAAACGATTTCTGGATCGATTCGCCACCATTAAAAAAAGAAAATTAATAAAAGAAGCCATTGACTCAATAATTTGGAGGTTTTTGGATAAACAAATTTGAAAGAAACTAATGAAAGACAAGCTTCATTGTACAAAAAGCTCGAAAAAGAGGATTACATTTTTAAAGCCCCATAGTTGTTTCTGGGTAACAAACATTACATTTATTGCTCCTTTAAAACTAGTTAATATTTAATTGTCGACTCCAGGAAGTACTTGTTAAACTTGCGCCAGCCAAAGCGTTTCTTGGGATCCTTCTTACTCCACGAAGGCGCCAGATTCGGCATCAGTCCCGCCTTTTGAGCCATCGTTACCAAGGTTCCCATTTTTTTCTGCTGACGATGACACAGTCCAGTTATCCGCCGGGGCAGCATGCAGCCATCGGAGCGGACGTACTGCGACAGGATGAGGACGTCCGTGTGTTTTATATCAAGACCCAAGGTACACTCCGGGCAGAATGTGGTTTGGCAGGCTGACTTTAGCATTTTCTCTGCACGTGGAGAGTCAACGTTAATGCCTTCAAAGATCCGCACGTTGTTTTCCTCTTTCTCCTGGACTACGGAGAATAATAAACAAAGATTGCTCGGTCAAGATTCTTTCCTGGGTAAGGTTATGAAACAGTCAAACTACTCACTTTCTTTTATCAACCTGGGAGTTGTGCTAGCTATGTTGCGGGTTTGTAATAATGTGTGCCGCATAGAGGAAGCTACTTTGAAAAGAGCAGACATGATGGCAGATCCTTTCATTTACAATTTATGCCCAAAAAATATTCACACCGGAGCCGGAGTGCAATGTTATTGGTCTTATTGTCAGCGTTGCCACACCTAGGCTAGGGCTGTCCAAATATATCGAAATCCCAAATATTTTATTGAATAATAAAATAAAAAGGAAAATAAATAAATATTTTTTATAAAAACTGAAATTTTTAGGTTAGTAAGTTTAACTCAAATTTAAATATTCATCATTTATTAATTCTTCAGACTACAAAAAAGCAAGATTTCGAAACTAACTACCTGGCAACACTAGTTACACGTACAACAAAGACGCCGGCTGTGAAAAAATATGGGTGAGAATTTTTTGTTAGAATTCTGTAAACACAATGCTGATTTTTAACCTTCTCAGGCGCGTCCACAAACAGCAAAAGCCCCCTGGTGTCATCCATTATCTCCGGACTCCTAAGTCTGGTTATTTTCGCTTCCCTCCGTTTCTGCGCTGACTGGTTCAATGGCAGCCAATTGAATGTTTTGCTGGGCGGATACCTTTTCTCATGGCTGTTCATCTTGAGCCTCACCTGCGTATCCAACGCCGAAATGGTTATATTTGGCCAGGACTTCCAGGCCAAGCTGGTACCCGAAATCCTGTTCTGCTTGTCACTCACAGTAGCTGCTGCAGGAATCGTTCACAGAGTATGCGCTACAACCAGTATTCTCTTTTCCCTGGTCGGACTCTATTTTCTAAACCGTATTTCCACGAAACACTACTCCAATGTGGTGGCTCCTGTTGATGCACCGGCCCGCAAAGGGGGAAAGAAATTTAAATAAGGACCCATATTCTCTGACACGCTTTATGTGCTATCTTAAACATTCGAATAAATACATTAATAAATAGTATTAAAAAATAAAATATCACTAGGCGGTAGTGTCGTTTCCCGGCTCCGAAACCGCCTCGGTTCCAGCCTCGGACATAGATTCGTTAGCTGTCTCCGTTAGGTAGCCGATAATGTTGTGCTCAATAAAGCGAACCAACTGAAATCAAATAACATAATGTAATAGGTAAGAGTTTAGGCGGAGATGGACATTTGTGATACTAACCATAAGTCCCTCCCTGCTCTTAAGTTGCTTGTATTTTTCATCCAGCCTATCTTTTAGCGTCCTAAACCAGTCGCAGAACTCCGATGCACCAGGAGGCAAATCAAAGCCCCTGTAACCAGCCGTCTTTAATCCCTGATTAGACGAATTAAGGACTGCCGATGCCAGAGTTAAGGAAAATACCCTAACGAGGATATAGGTTTTGCGCAGTGACCACTCCTTGAGAATCGCATCCTGACCGATTAGCTGAATCATTTCCCATGCTTCGTAAAGCTACAAAAGGGGTTAAATTAGTAGGATTCACAAACAAAATATTATAAACTTACATTGCGATAGATGTTCAGAATAATAGTTGAGTTGGAAAGGTCGGCCAGAATACCTCGCAATAGGCAAAGCGAAATCATCTTCCCCGTATCGCTAGACACGAGAATGTGTGGAATAACCTCCAGTAAGTACAGGAAGCAATATTCGTGTTCGACACTGACCAGCTTAATATTGTGCAGGATCTCCACTGTGGCATAATGTATCATAGTGGGTTTCAGAGTATCGGAGTAGTTAAAAATTCCATTTAGAAGTTCCAGTCGTTGGTGGAATGGTCGCCTTTGCCCGTCTTCCGTCAACAAGAACAAAAGAATGGAAGCCGAATAAAGTGAAACTACTTCTTCCAAGCTCAGTTCTTCATTAAGCATTTTTAGAAAGCCATCATTCAGCTAAAAATAAAGAAAAAGCCAATAAAATAATCGTATTTAAAAAAAAAAAATTAGATTTGTTTACCTTGTCAACATCTTGAGTTTTTTGAGCCTCCACGCAAAAGCTCCACCGCTGCAGCGGATGGAGGCTCAATAACACTTTGGACAATTGTTCAAAATTCAAATCAGGTGCATTAAAATCATCTAAATCGGAGGTTTTCGTATCCAACATTTTGTCAACAACCGGGTTTAGTGTGGCCACTGGCCACCAAGGATGTGCCTCTTCGCTTTTCCAACACTTAAAAACGAGCACGGCGACGTTGCCAGAGTTTGATACAATAGTATAATCGATATTTTTCGGAAAACATCGATATTTCGATATAAATGTATACGTTTGGCCATCTCTAACTCTATCTGTTACAAAAAAATTTCGGCCGAGTGAAAACGTCGAGGAAGCCAACAGCTACAGAAAAGCAACTTCTATTCGCAGCAAAACAGATTTTTTTGTTTTAATCGTAAGTACTACCTTTTCTTTATTATATTCCCATAAGTAGATTTAAACGCTAATGCGTAAATTTCGAGCGTGGGCCTCGCCATTTTGCACTTTTGAGAGGTTTCTTTGTCATCGCCATTGTTGGAAACGAAAAGGTTATGTACGGACTGTGTGCGTACGTTGGCGAGGTTAGTCATCAAGAAATCGTCACATTAAGGGAAAAATAAAGCGATGGCTGGCCTGCGGGTCTTTGTCCGACTGTACCATGCACATTATTCAATAAGAGCCCCAGAAATATGCACACTTTGGACCCCACTGCTGATTCCCGTTACCCCGTCCCCCGCGACCCGCTCCCCTACCTTTCTTCGCCCCATCGCCGCGACTTTGTCGCTTCAAAATGGCGCCGAACCACATGTCTCGCTTCGGCTCGTTATTCGGGCCTTCGGGTGTCACTTCATCGCCATTCGCCTTTTCGAATTTCATTTAACAAAGTGGTGCGCGCATACCAAACAACAAACAGCAAACGGAAAATACATAGTAACAATACCTAGTAACCGCTGGTGATAGCTGTTAAAAATAGAATTCCGGACATAGTCTGAATTCAAAGCAAGCAAAATTGTCGACGTTGATATTAAAGATAAAAACGTAAATTCCGTTCAAAAAATATTCTTCGGTTTTCTCTCTCCGCCTTAGTTGTTGAGTGTGTGTGTGCGTGCGTGTCAATTTTACAGTGCAAAAGCTCGTAAGCAAGCAAGAAGAAGACGATTGCGAAGCCCGTAGAACGGAAAAAATAATCTCCCTGCCTTGATCCGTGTCTGTGTGTGTGTGTGTGCTTTAGCGGCACACTGGTATTAGTCGGTTGCTGCTCGTCGAGGTTAAATAAAATTACATATTTTTAAACACGTTCGCATACGCACGCAGTTAAAAGCAACAGGCGCTCACGTACACACACACACAACCTCAGACACTCCCGGTCTCACACATTAACACTTTCTGTAGAACATCCACCTTCGACTTTTGACGAGGACACGCGGAAACGGAAGCGGCAAACAGGGCCAGACTTATTTCCGTTAAGTGAAAGTGTAAGTTTAATCCTCTTGGTCTAGTGCTAGTGCTAATCGAACGGCAGTGCCCTTGTACTTGTCTTTTTCGCCCCCTACTGCCGTTTCTTTGGGGGCAACTGGACAATTTCCCCCAGTCGCAGACTTACACATCGACGCAGACAAAGGCCGCGCTCATGTATGTGAGTGTGTGCGTTATGTACAATGACCTCGTTTCCCTGCCGCAGCTTTACCTTATCTACAGAAGTAACAACGTCAAAAATTTCACTTTATTTCTTTGTCGATTTCTTGCTGTGGCCGTTTCTTTTCGTTGGTGTGGTGGCGTGCGTGGGGGAAATATGCTTTCTCGGCTAATCCCTCCTCGCCTCTACATTCCACATTCTTGTTCTTAACCCCTCTTCGACGCCCCTGATGACTATAGCTTTGCTTTTCATTCGTTCTTTCGATTATCAAACTGTAAAAGATTGTGTGTCAGCGTCTTCGTGTGAGTGTGAGAGCCCGAAGAGAGGGCCGAAAGCACATGTACGTGCACACTTTTAGGTTAGATTCGCTCTTCAAAAATAATTTTTTTACTTTTGAAATACTAGAAAGCTTGTAACAAATCTGAAATACATTTGATCTACTGACCTTGCTTATTAAGTCGAACAGTGCTGCTCGCATCGACAAATAGAAACTAATATCTGTTGAATTTGTTTTTTTCATTTTTAGCAATTTATTGTATGAGTCAAAAAACTGAAAGACCAGTGCTATCGGGTCAACGCATCAAGACCAGAAAAAGAGATGAAAGAGAAAAATATGACCCAACGGGATTCCGTGATGCGGTCATTGCTGGGCTTGAAAAAACTGAAGGCGACTTGGAACAAATCTCTAAATTTCTAGACAGCGCGGGCAACAAGCTCGACTATCGTCGTTACGGTGAAGTTCTCTTTGATATATTGATTGCGGGTGGTCTATTAGGTAAGTTTTTACACCCGATACTCCTAAGATAACCTTATCCTAATTGGGTATATTTTAATTACAGTGCCTGGCGGTTCCATATCTCAGGATGGCGAAAAGCCGCGCACAAGTTACTGCATCTTCGATGCTCCCGAGAGCATGGAGGCCATGCGCAACCATGAGCAGGTTTGTTTTTTATAAGAATTTTGTATATTTAAGAACCTGCATATTATTAGAACTGGTTGTAAAGTTCAAAAAGATAATCAGTGTCGAAAATATGCAATAGGAAACGACACATTTACTTGTCTTTGGTTTGTTCTCAATCCTAACAGTCTGAAGATTTCTTCTGTGTCAACATTTTATACAAAAATTATATATTTAAGGCAGGAAAGGGCAGTACCACCTGCATATTATTAGAACTGGTTGTAAAGTTCAAAAAGACAATCAGTGTCGAAAATATGCAAAAGGAAACGACACATTTACTTGTCTTTGGTTTGTTCTCCATCCTAACAGTCTGAAGATTTCTTATGTGTCGACACTTGGCTATCAAAGCTTATAGATTTAAAATCAACCACTAGTTCTAGCAAATAATTAACCGGTTTTGTCTTTGTTCCCCCCTTTTTTCAGGTATTTGTCAAGCTCATCAGACGGTACAAGTACCTTGAGAAAATGTTCGAAGAAGAGATGGGTAAAGTTCTATTATTCGTAAAGGGCTTTACCCCAAGTGAACGCATCAAGCTTGCGCGTATGACTGCGCTCTGGTTAGGTAAGTTCTCGATATTTCTGGAATAGGAAGACTGCTTTATATAGTCGCCCCCAGACAGCTAATCAATAAGGTTAAGCCTAAAAAACACTTGTTTGACTGGCGGCTGAGGGGGCAAAAAAAAAGTTACTCTTGGTATACTGACTCTTGGATGACTAATAACCACATCCAAAAGCCACGAGCCCAAGGACAAATGGCTTTAATTTCATCAAATTTTGTACAAACTATTCGGGTGTATAACTAAGATATTTATTTGATATTTTATTTTTTAGTTAACGGGTCTGTACCACCAAATGTATTACTGGTACTGAACAACGAGCATCTGATCAAGGATGGCATTGCACTAGAGTTTCTACTAGAGCTGTTCCAGACGTTCAAGCAAGAGAAGGGCATTGCATATCTGATTCAGGCGCTTAAGAAGGGTGGACTGGAAAGCAAGTAAGTTCCTTTATACCTTTTTAGATTTAGTTCTGGAATATTTCAGGAAGATGATTCAATCATTTAGTTGTGCATCTTTAATTAATATTCCTAGATAACGAATTCTCGTCGGAGTATTACCTATTTCGCAAATGGACAGTAGCTTCATTTGGGTGTTGATTTTATTTCGTACAATAATAATATTTAAAATAAAAATTTGTAAAAAATTAAAACCAGGTTACTAAAGTTTTGAATTGTAATTTTTTTGTAATTTATAGACTAATGGACTTTTTCCCACCAAACAAACGTACTGAGGAATATTTTAAACAAGTTTTTGTTGACAAGGAACTCAATGAGATCATCAAGCTGCACAAGGCTCAAGCTAGCCAGGAGGCTAAGCGCGAGCTGCAGCAGGCTCTCATCGATGATATCAACGATGAGAAGGCCCACAATGAGATAACCGCTGACATTAAGGAATTCTCCCAACGCAACAACATTCCCGATCACGAGATAATTACTATTGTAAGTAACCAGAAAAGTCAATAATCCTTCCAGACATATATAATTTTTCTGTAATTATCTTTAGATTTGGTCCACCATTATGTCATTGGGCGAATGGAACAAGAAGGAAGAGCTTGTCACCGATCAGGCCGTTCGCCATTTGAAGCCTTACTGCGCTCTGTTGCAGGCTTTTGCCTCCACCGATCGTTCGGAATTGGCGCTGATCGTTAAGGTTCAGGAATTCTGTTATGAGAACATGAACTTTATGAAGGCCTTCCAGAAGATAATCTTATTGTTCTATAAGACCGAGGTTCTGTCCGAGGAGATTATCTTGCGCTGGTACAAGGAGCTCCACTCCAACAAGGGAAAAATGCATTTCCTCGAACAAATGCGCAAGTTTGTCGAGTGGCTCCAGTCAGCTGAAGAAGGTTAGTACGCCAATCCTTTTAAATATTACCAGAATAATAATGATGAGTGCAATTTTTGAGAATGGTCTTGTCCCGGATGGCACTTTCATTGTACAAAATTGCAAGAGCATTTGGGTTTTTTGCTTGCCTCGTTACCTTGTTGTCTCGGCAACGCAGGCCAATGAAAACCTGGACATTTGTCCATTTATGATTTACTTGAAGAGGCATGCTTCTTACCAAGCTTTTAAAGTGCCTATTTGGGCACAATTTTAAAGGGTTCATGTACAGTATGCTAGAGCATTTGGGTGATAGGGTGTTCATGTAGCCTATTTCTATGGCTATCCTTGGCCAATCATCACTTGGACAGCTGCCTTGCTAAGATCCTTGATCCATTTCGGCACTAGTTCTTTAAACAAGCTGCAAATGCTTTAATTTGCAGTCAAATAGGAACAGGTGCTATAGCATTTGGGTGATAGGGTGTTCATGTAGCCTTTTCTATGGCTATCCTTGGCCAATCATCACTTGGACAGCTGCACAGCTATGGTCCTTTAAACAGGGCACTAATCCTTTAATTAAGCTGCAAAAGTTGTAATTTGCAGTGGGATAGGATAAGGTGCTAGAGCATTTGGGTGATAGGGTGTTCATGTAGCCTATTCCATGGCTATCTTTGGCCAATCATCACTTGGACAGCTTCATTGCTCCGATCGCTTTGGAGTTTTAAAGAAAAGAATAAATGTATTAACCTTAATTTTGTTTGTTTGCTTCCAGAATCCGAATCTGAGGACGAACAGAAGAATGGCGAATAAAAATGTGGCTATTAACAATGGCTGAAAGAACAAAACAAACGGCGCCGCCCCAACATACCCCCAGACCCCATCCTCTTGGTATTTGGACCCATCCATCACCTGCAACAGCCAGTCGAACTTTTAAAACCACCACCCCTATGAATAACGTCATTTTGAGAAACTCAACCTATATATAACGATTCAGAAATTCACCAATAAAGGAGAGAGATTTAAACCGTCAAGTTAGAAATTGAAAGTTGATGTCCTTATTGTCCGATCTTATTATTCAATTTATCTGTGCCCGTATCTGGACCCACATTCGCTTCCCGCGTTGGTGGCAATATCCCAAACGAACATTTACCGGATAAAAATTTGTTAATAAAGGTTTAACTTTTTAGAAGTATCTAAAAATACAATGCTCGAAATGAATAAAATATTTTGGGAAAATCCAGCACACTGCAATAAATTTTAGGATCGACTGCCAATCGATTTGTTAATTGGAAGTCATTCGAGTGGAAATCGTTTAGGAAGTGACGCTTCATGTCAATAAAAAGAAAAGGGCAGTGGCCCGGCCCGTTTGTACGTTCGCATTATTCATTTACAAATTATCCCCACTTATGCATATAACAAAAAAAACGTAAAAGTAATATTCATCCTCAAATTGTAAGCCATGCGAAGAAAGGAGCGACACTGACGAATATAGTAGTCTTTGGAACAAAATTTGAGAGATTAATATTTACTGGCATGCTGACCTTTTTTCATCGCAATATATTTGCACGAAGCCGATGAAATTATGGAGTATAAGTAGCATGAAGTACATATATATGTGTATACAAACACTAAATAAAATAAAAATTTCAAAACAAAAGTTGCATTTGAATATTTTGGCTATTTTTTGCAGGGCGGGAAGCTAATATTAGCTTGTTCATTTTTTAGAGCTTTTTTAAAGGAAGATTTTGAAGACCATAGAGAGAATGAAATTATAAAGTTTATCATATCATCCGATGTGTCATCAAAAGCTCATGCCACATATGTACATACATATGTGTGCCCGCAGGTATAAATTGAAAAATTTTTTGATTTTTTTTCAACATTCAAAATACATGCTTTTGATGGCAAGCTTAATGGAAGACGAATAGTATTTTTATAAGAGTGTGGATACTTGTTGAATCTACAAAGCTTTTGATAAGTTATTCCGATTTTAAGATAAAGAAATGCTTTTGAATCGAAACTTAAGTGAAGAGAACTTTGTTAGGGAAGACAAAATAACTACTTTGTTTTGAAGCTAAGATTGGTTTGGCCAACATCTTAGTAAGAAATACAAACGGGATTATCTTTCAGGATAATCATAGATTATTGGACGTATTTATTTTTCATAAATCATATATGTGTGTTAAAAAGCATCCGATCAAAAGATCTCACAGGCTCATGGTCCAATTGTGTGATAAATATTTTCTCTTTTCTAAATACGCCTAATAATACCGAAGTTAATCTTACCAGAATCGTCAATTGCTGAACCTTAATAAATCATTTCTAATTTCTTTATTAAAAAAATAAATTTAGGTATTTAGTTTTTGGAAATACTGTTTTTATTCAACATAAATTTTGTTTAAAAGTAATTTTTCTTGCATTTCGTATTTCATGTAATGTATATAGTACTCGATGTTATATAATAACGCATATGCTATTTTTGTATTTGTTTGCTAAATTTGTAATTATTAGTTATTCATATTTGAACAATTTACTTGGTAACGGTTAGAAAATGAGCTTGAAGAATACACTATGAACATTGGCGAACATTCAAATACAAGGTTCAAAATAGTTGTAGTTCTTTATGAATTTAGTTTTGCTTGAATCCAGATGATATGATGGTGCAGCATAGACAGGAAGCGGGGACAGCGCCATAAATTGTGTCATTCTAATTTCCTTTTTTTTTATATATATAAGTATATTTTTTTTATATAAGTTTTAATTACGACTTTTATGATGTGGAAGTTAAACTAATTGTAGGATCAACAAGTTTAGCTACTTGGCCGGCTTGGCAATACTTCAATGTCATGATATAAGATGCGAAATGCGAAAAATGTTGCGTGCTTTCCCTTAAACTGTGTATTCTTTTTCAACAACAGACTATGTTTATGATGATGGCCTTTTAAAAGTGTGCCGGTGACAACTGTACAGGCTCCCATTGCCCTCGACGCAGCGAAATAAAATACAAGTTCATTTCGGTGATCCCGAGGACAATAATGCTGATGGGTAGCTAGCACAGGCTGTCAGCGGCACTGCTGCCTCGCCTCTCCTACTTAGCTGCACCTAATAATTGCAAACATAAACGACACAGATATTAAAAAAATTCAACAAAGACTACAGGGGACAGAAAATAATTTACAAAACCAACGTAAAAGAGGTGCAAAAGTTAAAATACAAAAATAAAAACTTGGACAGGAATGTATGCAAAAATTTTAAGTGTATGTATACAACAAAAAGCACATGCCTCTGGACCTGCAGTTCAGAAATATGCACGCATGTAAAACGAACAAACTTTAACAAACTCGAATAATTCTTTTTTATGCTCCTAGGATCTTGTCCTCTAATTTATATAGTACGTATTGGCATACTCACATATATACGGACGTATATATGTGTTTTGTGTGAGGGTACCATATATAACTGTTGCAAATGTTCCTCAGTGTTTTATCAGTTTCACTATACAAAGACAACGGCAAAAGTATTTTGAAAACGAATATATAATCCTATCTTTCTCCCGAATGCCAAAGGATGAGTTTACTTTGTTTTTGGGTTCATTATTAAGTGGGTGGAGCTGTTGTAATTAACTTGGAACTGTTCCTGCTAAATGGATGTTGATGCCGGATCAGATCAGATTTTTTGTAGGTTTTTGCACTTAAGAATTTAGTCGGTGAATTTACGGTTGACGTTACGGCCGAACAGGGCGTTACGGATCTCGGGCACCAGCTGCTGGGAGATCAGCTCTAACCTGGACTCCAGAGTGTTGGGCACCTAAAACCACATCAATAAGTTAATACATTTTTGGTTGCAGAATGATTATGAGGCGCTACGAACCTTGATGCGTCCGTTCAGGGCCAGCAATTCAACACCACCGCAAGTGTCAGCAGAGAGATAGTCTTTCTCATCGATGACCAAATCGACGTTTTGCCTCATGTCCTTCTTGTACTGCTCCACGGCTGCGGGCAGGACATCTCGCACCAGCGGGACATCGACCTCGCGGCAGCGCAGGATCACCTTGGGTTCCATCACCTGGAACAGGCCTTGGACGATGAGCTTGGTCAGAACCGTCTTGTATTCAGACTGGTTCTTTGTGACCTCGCCGAGACGCTTACGGGCATCCTCCAGCACGCTGCTCACATGGTCCTCACGCACTTTCAGGACCTTTTTTTTCGATCATTATAAAGGTATGAGTAGGAGTAACTCTAAGAAGGGGAATGCTGCACTCACCTTCAGACGAGCCTGGTTGAGCATGTTGGACGACTGGATTTTCTTCTGGAGTTCCACCTGCTTCTCCTTCTTCTCGTAGTACTCCATGATCTTGAGACGCTGCTGCTGGACGAGGCGGCCTTTCTCGATGTTGAACTCCTCCTCAGCCTTGGCGTCGATCTCCTCGGCTTTTTCATTGGCCTCCTGCTCAATGAACGCCATCATGTGTTTGATCTGAAAGGAAAATAGCCAATCCCGGTTAGAACTAATACTTTCAGTGACCTTGGATTTGCCTTAATAAATGGTGGTTCTAAAAAAGGACTAAGCTTAGGGTTTCATATTTTCAGAAATATTTTTCCTGCAATAGTACCTTTATCCATCACATGATAGGGCATTCAGCTTTTAAAAAAAGTTCAATCTTTTAGCCATTATTTATTTTCATTAGAGTTTTGATAACGTAAGGTCGTGTGACAGAGTGCGAGTGCGAGTGTGGCGGCACAACTCTAGTCGTCTCGCTCAGACGCATAGGCCCCCATTGCGGGGGCCGTGTCACATGACCAAATTGAAATTTTTACTCGCTTTTTACGAAGAGTATTTGTACAAATATCTTAACAGTTTCCCTGTTACCGAACACCATTGACTCCCATTCTAGGACAATAATCGTTTTTCAGGAATAGTCAATCTAGTCAGACAAATGTTAGCCAATAAGATTGGAGGGGGAACATTCACATGACTGACTATTGTGGATCCCATGACTGCGCCATCTTTTATAAAAATTAAAAAGTCTTTGGTCCTGTCGCCTGTTTGTGCACCATTTTTGGCATATTGATAATCATTTTGCGCTTTTATAGGGGGTTTAAGGTAGTTCATCCAATTCCCACTCCCTTTTACCTGTTTCTGTACATCAGCATCGCTCAATGCCATCTTGACGGATTTTTTCACTCGCACAAAACCAAAAGAAAATCAATGTTCCGAAGAAATCCACGTACAACCGTGCCTGCAAAAGTCACAATTTTAATGTAAGCAATGAAATCCGTGTTTTTCTAGTTGGAAATCGTGGTGCAACACGAGGAAAATGAAAAACGATATATTACTTTGCCTTCTGCCCGACGTCTGAAAATTTTCACTGCAAATCGATCATATGATTTCAGGTGAAGAGTGACCGCATCCCTGCTGGACGGAAAATGTGTATTTGTTAAATGGGTGTGGTATTTTTGGTATTTCTTTTCACCCCAATTTTTCAGCAATTTATGTGAAAATAAGTTTTAAAACTTTAGTTTATTTAAAACAGATGTAATATAACATTTTTATTACAACACAAATACAGGTATTTTTTATATTAAAAAAAAAAAAGGCCAAAAGTTTTTCCCTCTAAAAGTTCCTGGTCAAGTGGCAGCACTACTCTTCGGATTATATGGCATCTCTGTCTAGGATAGGTGGCCACCCTCTAATGTACACACGCCGAGTTGGACCACATAAAAAAGAAAACATCTTTTTTAGTTAAATTACAATTAAATTCTTGAATAGTCTATTCTCCATCTGCATGAGCCATGGAGACGCTCCTAGAGCAGCAGAGGCGTTACCACGAGGAACGCGAGCGTCTGGTAAAACTAATGGTGGACGAACATGCAACTAAGAAGCCGGGCGAGAAGGAGCGCATTCACTCGGAGCACCGGCTTAAGTATCTTATGGAGTTGCACCACAACTCCACGTCGCAGCTGAGGGATCTCTATGAGGACAAGGACAACGAGCGCAAGGCTGAAATCGCCGCCTTGTCGGGACCAAATGAATTTAACGAGTTCTATGCACGCCTGAAGCAGATCAAGCAGTTCTACAAGTCCCACCCTGCTGAGGTGAGTGTTCCCCTCTCAGTGGAGTTCGATGAGATGATCCGAGTGTACAATAACCCAGACGATATGAGCGCGCTGGTGGAGTTCACAGATGAAGAAGGTGGCGGACGGTATCTCGACCTTAACGAGTGCTACGAGCTATACCTCAATCTTCGCGCTGTAGAAAAGCTGGATTACATTACCTATTTGATGTCCTTCGATCACGTATTTGATATTCCACGCGAACGGAAAAATCGCGAGTACCGCAAGTATATTGAAACATTGAATGACTACCTGCACCACTTTATTCTGCGTATACAACCGCTGCTTGATCTGGAAGGAGAGTTGCTGAAGGTGGAGTTGGATTTTCAACGTCAGTGGCTGCAGGGCACATTCCCCGGTTGGTCGATCAAGGAGACGGAATCCGCGTTGGCAAATACAGGAGCCCACTTGGATCTCTCAGCTTTCTCAAGCTGGGAGGAGCTTGCTTCGCTGGGTTTGGATCGTTTGAAATCCGCTCTAGTAGCCTTGGGGCTAAAGTGTGGTGGCACGTTAGAGGAGCGCGCTCAACGATTGTTCTCCACTAAGGGCAAAACCACCTTGGACCCTGCCCTTATGGCCAAGAAGCCAAGCGCCAAATCAGCAAATGCTCAGTCCCGAGAAACCGAGCGTCACAAGGAGATTGCCCAATTGGAGGCTCTTCTCTACAAATACGCAGAGTTATTGTCGGAACAGAGGGCGGCCACTAAAGAGAACGTGCAGCGCAAGCAGGCTCGAACGGGGGGTGAGCGGGATGATAGTGATGTTGAGGCCAGCGAGTCTGACAACGACGACGATCCAGATGCTGATGATGTGCCGTATAATCCCAAAAATCTTCCGCTCGGCTGGGACGGTAAGCCTATTCCATATTGGCTTTACAAGCTCCACGGTCTAAATATCAGCTACAATTGTGAGATTTGTGGAAACTTTACGTACAAAGGTCCCAAGGCCTTCCAGCGGCATTTCGCAGAATGGCGCCATGCGCACGGAATGAGATGCCTTGGCATCCCTAACACTGCCCACTTTGCGAATGTCACCCAAATTGAAGACGCTATCACGCTTTGGGAGAAACTAAAGTCACAGAAGCAGAGTGAGCGCTGGATCGCCGATCAGGAGGAGGAGTTCGAAGATTCGTTGGGTAATGTGGTCAACCGCAAGACATTCGAGGATCTCAAACGGCAAGGACTCCTCTGAATTGGCCTCAAATTAATATAAGAAAATCTTAATAAGCCAGAATGGGTGGAGAATGAATGCACTTTCATAAGCAAAAATAGATATATTATCGATCAGACAATTAAATAAATGTTTTCTATCTGACAGATTTTATATTCAATCTTATTTAATTGCAGTAATTGGGTAGAAAATAAAACATAATTTTTTATTGTAAAAATGAACATACATTTATCTATTTCATGTAGTGAATAACAATTTTGAACTACTCTTAACTTAAACCTTAAAAATACGGGCCTCCATTTTTAACCCCACGTTCTCCACCGCAGCCAGGGGGAGGAGTGACATATTTTGCGTTTGGGAGTTTTTTTGTATCTTCAAATTCTGGGCTTGCAGCCAAGGAAACTCTTGGAACTGGGACTCGTGGCTCAGTCGCACAAACGCATCTTGGGAGGTGTGCAAGTGGATCTTAAAAGAAGTTGTTCCGGGGGGAAGTTTTGTCAATTGCTTCACACGCTCGGAAAGTTTGTAAATCGCAGAACGAAGTTGCTGTTCGTATTCTATCAGATGTGGATCGTTCTCTGAGGCGCCTGTCACCAGAGATTCCACTTGCATTTGGTAGCTCTCAAGAGGATTATTTTCATCGTGATATAATATAACTTCCAGGCTCTGGAGCTCATTGCGTCCCATCAACTCTTTTACGGATTTTAGAACGCCGGCCAGGTAATTATTGAGAGGGGGGAATATCGAGACAAAAACCGGCGTATTGTAAATGCGCCGCTTTTTGAATATCTGCGCTGGGTAAACGCCTCGCACATATAGAATGTGATTCAGGAGAACCTCTATTGCCTCCAGTTGGATGTCAACTTTACTTTCAGATTGCATTTCGCAACATAAGGAAATAAATAGATAAGTCTCAATAAGCAAAATAAAACAAAGTGGATTGACGCCGTTGTAATCGGTCATACAGTTGCAATCCTAAATTCGATATGACAAGGGTGGAGCAGAATAAGGGGACAATAAGGAATTAATGCAGACATTTAGGTTTCCTATATACCAATGATTGTTGAAGGGTTGGTAGCATTAAACTTCGTTTAAATTAAATAAAAAGTATCACTTTCAAGTACGAGTTGAGTTTTAGTACCCCTTTTCTTTACGCACGCCACTGCTTAGAGTAGTCGATTAATTATATCGTATCAATATATCGCAGAGGCGGCAACTATCGAAATATAATGTGTTGTGTCGTCTCTAGCTGAAAAAATGGCTGAAACGAAAATGTGAGTGTGTGAGTGTGAGTGCACAAAACTGTGAGAAAAATTTGCGTTTGCAGCCTATTTGAAATAGAAGCGTTTCGGCAATAAAGGCGCCGCTAATCGTTATCTGACCATTGTCCAGTGTCCGCTTTTGAGTGTCCACTGTGTACATGGAACAGGGGACGACGCATCCGTACCGGAGCCATCGAAATTTGCGATAAATGCTACTTTTTCGATCCGCACACTCGGCACTCCACTACAGTTCAATTACTGACAAGAAAAAGCTATAGGAAAATAAGTCTGGCGAGTAGGGAAATGCAGCTGGAGCTGAAAAGCTTCAAGGCCTGGATTACTAGATGAAAATTAAGCCAAGAGCACTCCCTATATGTAATATATATGTAATACACACGCGCCTGCCCCGCCGACAGTGTACATACATCAATATATCGGCTTGATATACCGCACACATACGCAGTTGCATCAGCATGCCCGACCGTGATTCTGATTCGGAATCCAAATCGGAACCCGAATCCATGAATCAGCAGCGGCAGCAGCCGCCTCAGCGGCCCAAACGGAACCGTCGCATCATAATGCGAATTGAATTAAACGACTCGGATGAGACGGGCTCCGACCAGGACCTGGACCAGCGGCCATCCTGTTCATCGGCTACCCGGCTGCGGCGTAGTGTCCGCCACCAGGAAGTACCCTCTAACTCGGAGTCCGACGTTAGTACAAGGAAGTCTTCACGCAAGTTGCGCCATCATTACGGACCGCAAAGCGACTGTTCATCCAGCGGCAGTGAGGTAAGCCAATAGATAGCCCCAATATTCAGTGGAAAATATTGATTTAAAATTTATATAACAATTTAAGATTCATCAGCAGCGCTCTACTAAACGGAAAAAGGCATTATCTAGTGGCGAAGAGACGGATCCGGAGCCGGAAAAATCTTCCGTAGCCAGTGCGGCTGGAAGACTTCAACCATCTACGGAGGAGGCAGATCCGGGCTTTAGCTCTGATAGCAGTAGCAACGAGCTGCTGGAGAAGTGTCCCATCTGCCTTTTTACCTTCAGACAGCAAGAGATTGGAACTCCGGCCACCTGCGAACATGTCTTCTGTGCTGCGTGCATTGAGGCTTGGTCGCGAAATGTTCAAACTTGTCCCATAGATCGTATTGCCTTCGACAGGATCATTGTGCGCGATACGTTCGCAACCCGCAATATTGTGAGGGAGGTGCGAGTGGACCTGAGCAAAACTAAAACCGAGCTGGTGATAGGTGATGAAGAGGAGGCTCCAGTGGAAGAGGAAGTCACCAACTGTGAAATCTGCGAGCGACCAGATCGGGAGGATGTGATGTTGCTGTGTGATAGCTGCAACCAGGGATATCACATGGATTGCCTGGACCCGCCACTCCACGAGATTCCAGCCGGTTCTTGGTATTGTGACAATTGCATTGATTCGGAGGATGAGGACCCTGATGAGCAGCTAGACCTAGCCGACGATTTAAGTCAACTTTACGAGGACATCAGAGACATGGGCCTTCCAGAGACGAGGCTTCGTGTGCGAGAAGTCCAACAGCCGCGAATCCTTCGAACCCGTCAAAATGAACGAATACGGGCGGAGGTTCTGCGTCGCACTCGTTCTGCGGCCGTCACCACAAATAATTCTGAGGGCAGCCGCACACGAACCCGCACTACAACCACCACTACAACCACTACCACCACCACTCGGCGAACCACTACCAGTTCAAGTACAAGAAGACCGACCCAACGTCGTAGGCGGCGGAGGACTCGGCACCGTGTCTATGTGGTGGAGTATGACCTTAACAATTTCGATGAGAAGTTCGCACTCAAAACCAGCAAAAAGGTCATTAGGCGCCGTCGACGTCGTCGTCGTCGAGTTGTGCCTGCAGCGTCTGAGCCAGGACGACGTCTGACTGCTAGCATGCGACTTGCAGAGCAGTTGGGCGTTAAGGTAGATGGCGTACAGCGTTCACATATTTCCGGTGGCACTGCCGGCAGCTTCTCCTTGTTTGGGAGTGCCAATGACCTGGAATACTTCTCCGACAATGAACAGGGCTGCGATGAAGATCTGGCTTCCGCTGGACTGGGATCCACGGCCGTTCAAACCTCAGTTCGTATAGCCAGCATTGGCGCCCCACGCATTCGGAAGGCTTTGCTTCAGAGCAAGGCCCGCACGGCAGCCACAACCTCATCGTCCAGTACAGCTGCAGCTGGCGACATACTTTCCAGTATTTTGGAGCTGCAGGACCGTTGGCATGACGCCTCTCGCAACCTGAGCGAGGTGCACATCAGGGCCGACGGCAGTCTTAATCTTCCCGCCACTAAAAAGGCCGCCGCTTCTAGGCCGGAACAAAATGTCACCCAGGCACCGCTTTACCAGCGAGGAGGAGCTGCGCCGAACTTCGGTCGCGGCGGAGGAGGTGCCGGCGGCGGCGATAACTACAACAACCGGTACAGTGGAAACAACAGCTATAACCGAGGTGGCGGCGGAGCAGAACAATCATCCAACAGTGGCGTTGGAGTGGCTTCCTCTAGTGGAGGGGATGGAGGTCAATTGGGTGGTGGTTTCAGCAATCAGGGACTCAATAGTCCCATCCAACCCAACAGCGGCAACAACACCCCCACATTTACACCTTTCCACCTGCGATTCAATAGCCCCAACCGCCAACAACAACAACAGCAGCGGCCTCCGGGCCCTTCACCCGTAACACAGTCTGCACCACCGTTCCGACCGATGGGTGGGCCACCGCCTTCGAGGGGCACGCCGCCGAGAAACTTTCCTGGACAGCCGCCGATGTTCCCGCCTCCTCCGGTAAACCATCACCCGCCGCCAGTGATGGGACTGCCTGCGGTGCTATCAATACCTCCTCCACCAACACCGCCTGCCAGCCTGGCCTGGAACAGTCCGCTCTTCAAGATTAATACTCTGCAGCAGCCGCCGATCGCCGATAGATCGGCAAAACCTGGTGACGATGCCGACAACTGTCCGAACTTCTCCATTTACTCGCAGGAGTCTCAGGCTGTGGCCAATGCTAGTGCGACGACAACGGGACCTGTGTATGGACCTGTCGAGGATCCGGATAAGGTAACCACTTCTTAAAGCCAGTTTATGTAGTATATGCCTATTTTGGAAACCTTTTAAAACAAATATTTGTAAAATCCACTACTATTCATACTAACATATACGTTTTCCATTATGTATCCATCGGCCGGTCTACTATCAACAGGATGATGAGGATTTAGAAGAAGATTTAGTACAATTAGACGATGATGATGACGATAACAATGAGATACCCCTGCCCCCTGGACCCGAGCCGGAACCAGCTCAGGAAACAGCCAATGATGATCTGTACGAGCCAGAGAATCCAACCGACGAGCCAGATGAAGCAACTGAAAACATGGAGATATCTGAGCCTTCCGATCAGGAGGACAACAAAGCCGAAGAGGAATCCGGGGAGACACCAAAGCGTAGCACTCCTAGTCCAACTAAAGAGGATCGGGCTTCTGAGAGGGATAGGGGCAAGGGTGTGCTGGAGCTGTACGATGACAGTGATTGGGAAGAATTGGACATCGATAAGCCAAAGGAGTTTGAAAAGGCCTTGGAGCAAACGGAAGCAGATGATGCGGAAACGACTCCCAAGGAGATAGAATCCAACACGCCTCCACTGGTGAAGGACAAGAGTGATTTGGACAAAGAGGACAGTGACCACGGACAGGATCGTTCCTACACGCCGTGTTTGGATGAAAAAACACTGGCCGAGGAGGACGAACCAGACTCTGCCCCTGCAGCCGCTCGGAGAGATGGTAGCGACAGCCCAAAGTCACGTTCCTCCAAAGTCTCGGACGATGAGCGAGCAGTCGGTCCTGACCCAGCATCCGATGACGAGGATTCGAGCAATAAGAACTCCAAGCGCCGCAGCCGAAGTCGCCGGCGCAGTCGTAGCCGGAGTCGGAGCGGTAGTCATGTCCCAGTCAAGCCCAAGTCCAAATCTCGTTCCAAGCGCGAGGATGATGAAACATTCAAGAAGGTTGGCAAACGACAAAAAGATCGCAACTACCGCGGAGATAAGCCACGGTCGGGTTCGAGAAGCCGGTCCTTTAGCCAAAAGCGCAGCAAAAGCCGGAGTGTGAGTCGGAATAGTCGCAGGAGTAGGTCTCGGACACGGAGCCGGAGTCCAAGCAAGAGCCGGTCTAGGAGCAGAAGCAGCAGTCGCTCGCCAAGCCGCAATCGTAATAGACGCAGGCGGGACAGTCGCTCCAAGTCGTATTCTCGGTCCCGGTCAAGGTCCCGCTCCCGTTCCTACCACCGGGCGCCGTTCCGTGGCCGAGAAAACCAGCGAGGATTCATGCGCGGGCGAGGAGGGCTACGGTTCAACTACCGAAACCAGCCGTTTCACAATAATCGCTTTCCGCACTACCAGAACCAGAACCAGCAGCACTACCATCAGCAGCAGCACCACCACCCCCAGCAATACTTCCACTACAACCAGCACGGTCAGCAGTTCTACCAGCGGCCAAAGCGAAGAGAACTGCCGCGCTATGATGTTCGCAACTTGGTCGGAGCGAATAGGCAGAATTACCAAAGGGATAGGTTCGGGAGGGAGCCGATGCGATCTAACAGAAGTCGCTCGGGTGGCAGGCGTGACTCGAGGAGTTTCTCCAGAAGCGTTTCAAGGGGATCGCGCGGCTCGTTACGCTCCCGTTCGCCGGGATCACCAAAGCGCTTCCGAAGCTTTAGCATGTCACCGACACCGCCGCCGGGAACATCGCCGCCACCCAAGCATCAGGGCGGCAGACGCTTTGCCAGGTCGCCGTCGCCTTTGCCTCCATCTCATCAGGAACGGGATCGTAGTCCCATATCTCTGCACTCAGGAAGATCGCGCTCCCCCACTCCTAATCGCGTCAATGGCGGGGGAGATCGTTCTCCTGCTTATATAGGCTCTCCGCGGTACACTCCTCGACTGAGTCGCAGTCGATCCCGTTCGAAGAGTCCCAAGGATGCGCCCAAGAAGAAGAAGAAGAAGTCGGACAAGAAGAAGAAGAGTAAAAAGCGTGCGGTGAGCGGTAGCCCCACGGCGGCAGCCAGGATGCGCCGCATTTCGCGGCAACGGGATCCCTTTGAGGATGCGGACGACTTTTTGGCGCCGCAACACGGAAAGAAGCGAAAGAAGGGTTCGGGAGGTGTGCTGAGTGGGGGCATCCAGTGGTCGCCTTCCCTGTCACCCGGTCACCATCATAATTTCTTGCACGACAAGAATTCGTGGACGCCGCCATTGGAATCGCCCAAGGAGCACCAGGAATACGATGATGCTGGCGAAACCACCCCAAAGAAGGCGAAACGGAAGCGGGACAAGAGCAAAAAGAAAAAGAAGCAGCCACTGGAGAAGCAGCGCAAGGAGAAGAAGCGCAAGCGACGCACCCAAACACCAGAGCCACTGCCCTCCAAGGAGGTCTTTGCCTCCGGCAACAATATTCTGGTGAGCGTGAGTTTCAACAAGGATTCCAGTAGCAATGTCAACTCGGCTCAAGCGTCCCAACAGCCACAGACGGTCGTCACCATGCCTTCGAGAAGCGATGATCTGCTAAGCAAGCGTCTTGGCTCCTATGATCACCTGGCCAATAGCAGCTCTGGCGCTGGAATGGGTGGCATTAAGAAGGGGAGAAAGGACAAGATGCGCAAGCGCAAAAAACTGGAGGCCAAGCCAGTGGCCATTATTGATTTGGAACGTTCTCCATTCCAAGTCCATCAGGAGCCGGCTGATGTTATTGTGCTAACAGACAGCGAAGACGCCTCGGATCAGCATGCTTCCCGCAGGGAACGGGAAAGGGAACGCGACAGGGATCATGACAGAGATATGATGAGGGAGAACGGCCAACGGGAGAAAACCCCGCCGACGAACTCCCTGGAGACTATCATGGAGACATCCTACGAAAACATGACACAACAAACTGGGCCGAAGACGCCGCCAGAGCCTCCATTGGTCAAGTTCAACCTGCCCGCTAAAAAAATGCAGATGCAGCACAAGGCTCGCAACAATCCGCTCCATGACGACGCCGATGATATAAACTCGGCAGACGAGATGGAAGCGGCTTGTTCTTTGCCACCCGAGGAGGCGTCCACCCACGAAGGTGGCCAGAAAATAGGACCCAACACGCCTCCAGAGTCGGGACCGTGTTCGCCGGACGCGTACGATCCCTTCGAGCCGACAAAGTCACCATCGCTATCGCCCCGATCGCCGACGCCGACTCAAAGTCAGATACTCGATTCAGTGGATGCTGGGTCCGGTGCTGTCGGATCCGGCCCGGGAGACAATAACGAGGCTGAAAATCAAAAGCAAAGCGACAACAATGCCAGCACCAGCACCCAGACTCAGACGAGTGCCGTCAATCCAGTGGACTTTTTAATGTCCCTAATGAGCAAACCCAACCAGAGCTTGGGTGGCCAGCAGGAGAGCGAAGTGAGCTCCGCCCAGTATATAAGCAGCAGCTCGGTTAACCTAACTGTGGGTTCCACCTCTGGAGGAGGCGCAGGCGGATCTGGTGCAGGCGATAACCATGACAAGGCATCAGAAGGCAACTCAGTCACCGTGATCTCGAATGTTCTGCTCACCAGCAGCAGTGTGGTGTCCAGCTCGCAGCACATACCCTCTATATCTAGCCCTACGCCGATGCCAAAGAAACTCACCCCCCTTTCGAAAGCGGGCGGAAGCGTGGCCAGCAGCAGCAGTGGCGTTGGCAACATGCCCACCACGAGCGGAGGCGGTGTGGGTGGCGGTTTGCGCAATGGTAGTGGTAGTGGCAATGCCGGCGGTTCTAGTAATGCCCTGGACGACTCCTTCAACATGGAAATCGAGAGCCCGTATTCGCCCGGTTCAGCGGACTACGAGGATCTGTTCGAGCCTCCGGCACAACCGGAGGGCAGTCGGCGAGCCAAGGGCAGTGGTAAGACGGAAATGTTCGACAATCTCTTTGGCAGCAGCTCCCCGGTGGGCAATATCCGTATGTCGCGCTACAACACAGCACCAGCCAAGAAGCATCGTAACCGAGATCGTAAATCAAAATCGAAAGGTGGGTTTCAAGCATTTATTTTGTAAAGATCTGTTTAATAATTGAATATTTTTGGTTTTGAAGGTGCCAAAGTGCCTGATGCCTATGAAGATGTTCCCAACTCGGCAGTGGATCTTCAAAATAAGGATAGAGTGAGTCAATGTCACATAGCCTGGACGAAACCCACAAATTGAGAATTATATATTATTTTGCAGTTTTTGCGCAAGTTGAATCGGCAGGAACGCGTAGTCGAGGAAGTAAAGTTGGTCTTGAAGCCGCACTTTAACAAAAAGGTGATTACAAAGGACGACTACAAGGACATTATGCGAAGAGCTGTGCCAAAGGTGAGTGTAACTATAATCTATTCTATAATAAATCTTCTTACATATTTATTATGTTTTGTAGATCTGCCACAGTCGGTCTGGTGAAATTAATCCGCATAAGATTAAAAATCTTATTGATGCCTATGTGAGGAAGTTCCGCGCGAAGCACAAGAAACTCAGTCTGCTTAACACGGGACAAGTTAGCAGTGCAGTCAAGTGTGCCGCTTATCTGAAGAAGCTATAAGCCAGCAAGCGTGCGCCTCGGTGTTTGGAGGTATTTATTAATTATTTTACAAATTTGGAGAGATATTCATGTCTCTATATTTTTTACAGCGGTCGGTTAAGCGGTCGCATGCATTCCTACACTACTTTACCATCAAATTAAATCAATAATAGTCACCGGACACCACGCAAAAACAAACAAATGAAAAACTCAAAACGTCATTAACTATTGGAATTTAGTTGTTAAGTCAATTTTAGGTCACTTTACAAATGATTTTAGAGCGTAAGCGGCGACACACACAGGAGTGAATATATTTAAATGTTAAGCAAAAGGAAATTTGCCACCCGATTTTCGTTTACCCAAAGCACTACAAAAACATTTAATTTATATCGAGACTAGTTCATTAGATTGTTTGCTCGTATGACAACTGTAACGATTATATATATATACTGTTTTGCATCAACCTTTAACAATTGTAAGTAGCTGAGCGATGGCAAAACATCTCTATTATTTACCTCTGATAATTTAAATATTTAATTAAAACTCATCATCCGAAGAGCTAATTGATAATCGAACACCATTGACCTGCAACGTAGACGGCATCGTATAACCCTGAATATGTCGCTAATTAGCAGTTGAGTATTTAACTCGAAGCACGGGGATTGTTATTAAAGAAAAAAAACAATTGTAATTATGTATTCATACTAATAGCTGAACCAGCCCGCCCGGTCAGCTATGAACCTTATTTATGAAGCACTTGATTTCGCATGGTCTGTCAGTCATCATTTTTTTAATAACGAGTAAGATTGGAACACACAATTGATAATAGTACCAATAGCATATAATAATATACGCATTGTGCTGAATCGTTTTGTAAATATTCATATAAATAAAAATAAACTCGATCATTAACTAAATCTGCTATGTTTTAATATGGGAATGGAGTCTCTAGAGACCCGAGAACACCTGAAGCCATTCATCGAAACACCTTTTCTTTATATTTTTCGGTTTAATTTATTAGGTTCTTTGAGTTTTGCTTTTGTAATTAGATTTATGTATATAAAGTATGTGTATATAATAAATAGTTCCGCACATTTATAATTTGTCATGATTACAGTTTCTAATTGTAGACTTGCTTGGTAGAAATCCAAAACTTGATCCCAGCAGGTTCCAGGACCCAATAGAAAAGCTACTTCTCAATAAATAGTTGCAAAAATGTTGCAAGCCTTTTGATTCAACTTGGATTTCCTAGATCAGCAATAAAGGGTACAAATTGTGCTAAATTATTTTTAAATAAACGTGTTCAACAAAAATATTCAGTTAAAAAAAAGCACATTGTTTGATTTTCGTAGTCCTCGATTCAGGCAGTTTTTTTTTTTCTAATTCTTAAATTGAGGATTTTAACAGAAATCTTACCCACAAGGGTAAGGACAATTATTATTCGGTTTGTGGCTATACGTACTTAATTTGAATTTTGGTTAGATTACGATTTTGTGTTGGTTTTTCTTTTGTTTTTTTTATATTAAATGCCGGTTTACATATCGAATGAGCGCAGACTTTGGCTTACACTGTCCTCCAGGATCCAGGATTGTGCGATTCAACACCGGCAAGGATTGCGATGCGACGCAGGGCGCTGGCTGGTTTACCAGAAACCGGAAGACTTTCCGCCAGGTGGGTTCTTTACCTTAATGCATGCTCGTACTCCAGACCTGTCAAGCTCCTCTGTTTCGAAAAAAAAACACCTTATTAGGGTACCATGAGGTGCAAAAACCTTTAGTTTCTTACCGCTAATCGAGAAAGAGGACTCCTGCAAGTCACGCTTGCCGTCGACACGTCCGCGAACGGAGGGAGTGCTGCAGAGTGAGCCTTCGGCCGGCATGGGAAGGTTGCCAGCCAGCATGGCGCTCAGGGGTTCCTGCACTGGGATCTGAATGTCCAGCTCGGCAAACCGCTTCGCCACATTTCCGTTCTGTCGCTCCTGGTGCTCCTGCTGTTCTTCAGTGGAAGCCTGTACCTTTCCCTCGATGATGTCATAAACGAATGGAGGTCGAACCGGTGTCGGAATGAACCGGCCAAAGCCCTCCGCCACCCTCACGTTGCCGCGCTCGGCGCAGATGCGTCCGCGTACCAGGACGAACTCGCACACTCCGTGCACAGTCATGCCCTCGAAGATGTTGAAGTCACAGGCATGATGGTGGGTGTCCTTTGAAATAGTGCGTGTGGCGTTCGGGTTCCAGATAACAATATCCGCATCAGATCCCACAGCTGAATTAGAGGAAAGGGAGGGTAAATATTTAAAGTTTTTTAAAGTTTTTTGTGTCGTCCTACCAATGCGTCCTTTTTGGGGATAGATGTTGAAAATCTTGGCTGCATTCGTGCTGGTCACAGCAACAAAACGGCAGGGATCCAGGAGCCCGGCATGGACACCCTTCTCCCAGACCAGGGACATACGATCCTCCACACCATTGACGCCATTGGGGATCTTGGTGAAGTCACCTTTGCCCAAAGCCTTGTGTTCCTTGTTGAAGGTGCAGTTATCGCTGCCAGTCAGCTGCAGGTCATCACTATGGGGGTAGTTAAGAAAAGGGTTAGTATTCCACTCTGGTATTGGGGTTCTTGGAAAGTCAGACAACCAAAACGTAACGAAACGAACGAACAATCACCGCTGTGGTAGGGAATGCAGCAAAAGTGCTCTGATGCTTCAATACTTACTCCCATAGATCCTCACAAGAGGAATCAAAGTCACTTTCTTATGATAATTTGGACAATCAGGGACTTACAGGGAAAAAGTGGACTACCGATCGTATAACAAAAAGCCAATGGTGACTTTGATTCTTATTCTCTAATGAGGTTAATACTTACTACGCCAGGGACTTCATCAGCTGCCTGGGGGTCTCGGCTGACTCGCGGATCGGTGGACTGGTGATGCAATAAATGCGGTCGCCCTTGGGCACTCCGCTCATGGAGCGGCCCAGGGAGCTGGCCAGCGTCTCTCCGAAGACGCAGTAGCCGCTGCGACGAGCACGACCCACGAGTTCGGCGGAGGATTTGCTGGTCAGGCCGGATACAAATAGCGGCGTCTTCATCTGGTCGATGTGTGAGCGTGTGTGAGTGGAAAAAGCATGGCCAAACATGGAAACATATGTAATTAGTTGGGGGTTAGTGAGTTAGATCGAGGCTTAAGAGCTGTTAGCAGTTAGTTTTTAGAAGAATGTATTAAACAGGCATCAACGCATATCCATGTTAGTGTGAGATTAACCAGGAATCAATAGATAAAGACAAAACTTCCAGGACAAGGGACCGAAGTGTTGATTTCAGAAATTAATTTTTTTATCCACCCGGAATAGCAAATAATATAATATATTTTATAAGACCCCTATATACGGCCCTTGTCCTAAAAGATTTCAGCCAAGTCACCACTTACTTCGCCAACAGCTTCATCAGAAACTCGGGGGTCGTCTTGTCGGGACGCAGGGGCGGGCTGAGCACATGCGCTGCCTCGTGATCGAAGCCCAGGTGCTGACAGCAGGTCGCATCCGTGCCCAGCGCCGCGGCCAGTGTCTCACCCATTATATAACGCCCCCGATAACGATGCCGGGCCCTGGCCAGCTCGATGCCCGCCGACTTGCTCATCACATGGACCACATATAGGGGACAAGCGGCCTGATCAGCCCCAGATCAAATCGGTTGGGGATCGAAGTGGGTATTGTGAGATTATATCAAGTGCCGCATACCGCATAATATGTACAAGTGTGCATCATACACAATAAAAATAATAAAAAATAATAATAAATCAAAAATGTTTTTAAATAAATAAACAATAATTACAGGAGGACAAACTTCCTATTCCCACACCCCTCATTCCACACCATTCCATCGGACTCACCTGGTGGGCTAGAACGCATGCGCGATGCACTGCCTCGGCCTCGACTTCCTCGGGTCTGGAGAGCTCATGACCCTCCGGTCCGGTGATGCCCTCCGCCAGCAGACGTTGCGTGTTCTTGGCAATAATATCTCCGTTTTCTGCATGAACCTGTGGAGGATAAACATTAATATTGCAGGAATGCTAATGGGGTGTGGTACAGACTTACCATAGCAACTCCGTTTAACTGTCTAATCCGCTCAAATACATCCAAAAGATCTGAGTCATTTAGCTGCAAAATGTACAAATTATTAATTATGGTAGTTGATAGTCGGAAAAAGTTACTCTTTAGGTTACCTGGTATAGGTTTTTGTAGGCCATAAAAGTTTTGAAAGAGTTAACTCCGAGCTCTTTGCAGAGGATACCAATCTCCTCAGATACCGATTTGGACCACCAGGTGATGCCAACATGCAGTCCATAGTCGCAGCATACCTTAAAAATGAAAATCGTTAAGATTTTATAAAAATATTCATCAATAAAGATAAAGATCCGAGTTTCAAGCAAACGGAAATGTGGTTTTCTTATTCCTTTATTGAAAACCCCATTCCCTATATATGCCACACGTTGGAGTGCACCTTGCATACTAATAATACAACACCATACCTTGGGATCTGCCCAGCTGCGCCACTTGTCGTAGGCCTCGATCATCGACTCATGTTTGTTGGGTAGCACGAAGTCGACTGTCGATAAAAATAGTCATTAATCCTTAAAAGACATTTAATGGATCGGCTTACTTATCATGGTAGTGCCACCAGCGACGGCAGCTTTGGTGCCATGGTAGAAATCATCGACTGCAACAGCTCCTCCAAAGGGCAGTTGCATGTGGGTATGGGGATCGATTCCACCCGGAATGATCATCAGACCACTGGCGTCGATGGTGCGAACTCCTCCGGGAATTGTGATTTCGGAGGATGGTCCAACAAACCTAGCAATTAAAAGTTACAAAAAAATATATAAAATTAAAATAAATCTTAAATCTTACTTGATGATTCCGTCTTCGATGTAAACGTCCGCTTTGAAGGACTTATCATGGTTAACAATCTCACCTAGAATACAAAATTATATATACTCTTTAGCACCATTTTTTTTAGCTTGCTAAGCTTACCATTTTTAATATAGACACGATTCTGGGCGCTCTGCAAATGAATCGGCACCTTTTTAACCGGTTTCGGGCTAGTCGACATGGCGAGAGTCTGCAATGAAATGAGTGCCATGAGCGGATGATAGGCCATAATGGGGAGGATTTCCCCATTTCCCACTTTCCCACACCATTCAAACACACACACACACACTCTAAGCGCCATGGAGGCGTTGGTTCATTCAAATGGGGTGGTTGCGCCTATTGTGGTTGCTTATGAGTCATCGGAGGACATGGCTGCAGGACTGGCTCCAGACACGTGCCGTGCATTAAACTGCACAATCTGAATTTAACCCTAAGCACTTGAAGAAATACGATTTTCAAATCTCATCTTAAGCCTATATTAAGTAGCTAAAATCTAGTCCAAATAGGATACTTAATCATACTCATATCCTGATAAGCTTTTTAGAAGGTAGATTTATTTTTATAAAAAAAATATGAATTTTCAATTAAAGTTTTCTTGAAGTGCATTTAAATCGGTAAGTATTTATGCAAAGGGGTGTACACTGTACAGTACATGTATGAGGTGCAGTCTGTTAGGAGTATCTTCTCCATTGATTACAATGACGATGCTCTGACCTCCACCAGAAGGAGGAAAAAGCAACAGAAATGTCATCCCAGCTCGTTTGTCTTTTCATCAGATTGCTTTCCGTTCGCCCACTTTTCAAACACTTTGTTCCGCTGTTGCAGCACCTATTGGCCTGCCAGACGACAATACAGTGAAAAAAATAATAATAATAATAACCAAGAAAAGAAAAAAAAACACAATATGGTAACTGCATAACCAGCCAGGCAGAATATTAATGTTGCGTCTAAGCCATTACAAGGGCCATCTCTTCCGACGTCTGGGTTGCGCCAACCAGGCCAACGGCCATTAACCTTTCTGGGGCCTAGGCCTGGGCCTATTTGTTTTGGCCCTCTCGAGTATACAGTGTTTATGTGTTGATGCGGTGTGTACTACTACGCCCTCAACACACACACAGTCGCACATTACCGCATAGAGTGACTCGAGAATGGCATTGACGATGGCCCCAAAGCCGGTAAGAAGTTCAATTTGTGCCACCCGACGATAAGCACAACAAATTCTGAAAAACGGGAGTAGAGTGTGGTTGGTGCAGGAAACGTTTGTTATGCTTCTATGAATAAGTTCACACAGCTCCGGTCAATGGAAGAGAACCATGGGGGGACAGCCAGTGATTTATTCACTCTATATCATTGCAAATGGGTCACTCAAAGGGAGTTATAATGGGTCTTTCTTGTGTGTAGTTTTATTTCAATCAATATACTTATAGGAAAAACACATGTAATATAGTTATGTAAGGTTTTTCTTTTTTTGAAAAGGGTTCTACATGTTTTTACAACTTTCATACTCCTAGTATAAACTTTTATCTTGTGACTATGATTCTTCTTCGTTAAGATATGTACAAGTTTTTGAAAATGTAACTTCACTCAAAAGAAACTATCTACATATGTAATTCGTTTATGGTTGTGATCATTGGGTACATTTCATTCATTCAATTTACAGTCTGTTGGCTGGGATGGTGTTTGGCGTCCACAACGAACATCACAAAATTTCACACATTAAGCGGAGCACTTTCCCCTTTTGGCGGCAGCACATCCGAAATAGAGCCCCTCCTACGAGGCGCATGTGTTTGTGTTTGGATGCAATGAATTAGATTATCTGCCAGCATATATACTTGCTATATACTCAGTACATATACACTTTTTAAAGTGGGTTTTTAGGTACATAATGCAATTAATGCAGCCGTATTAATGTACAGAGAAGTGTGCAAAGCTCATTCTCTATTGAGAACTTTGTAGGTCGCGTACATACATGTACATACATACATGAATATTTTGTATTCCACTTGTTTTCATTTGCGGCTGTTGCATTTTTGAGTCAGTGGCTGACACTTGACAGGGCAATTAGACACAGTATTTTTTACAGATGGACCATCAACATTTAAAAACATGCAACATTTTTAGAAAAAATAATAAACGTCTGTCTAAATGACTGAGGTTTCTAATTCAATATGCATTTTTTTAATAATAACTATGATTTAAAACTTTAAACATGAAATTCCTTCTAATTTAAATAAAATCTGCATACATTTGTCTTCCATATCAGTATTATAATCCTGACTGAGCTGATAAGAGAGGAGCTTTCAAAGAGGTTGTATTTCAAAGTTCTGCTTGGGGGGTATTGTTGACTTTCTTGTTATGCCTTATCTCAAGCAGGTTTATTGAACTTTGAAATCAAATCCTGACTTTAAGAAGTACCATTCCTGGCCTGCCATTGATTTGCAGGTATTTCATGTATGTGCATAGTTATGTGTCTGCCGGTTTGTAAGAGTACATCGACTCGGGTCTCTGTTGTTATTAAATCAATAAAAAGGCTGCGGCGGACTAAAAAGGCAGCAACAAGAAAAGCCTGTATCCACCCATCGGTGGATCGGATCGGAGAAATTGAAGCGCGGCTGTTGGGAGATGTGTTCATTGCACCTGATTAGCGGATTGATAAATGTAATTGTGCAACTTGATGCACTAACATTGGCTTGTACATATGTATGCGGCTTAGTTCACCTGCATGTACATATTGGGAATGAGAAAAGCAGTCAATTGAAGAGGAGGTAGAAGGATTTAGCCACGGAGAAATTTCAATTTAACGGCCAAACCACATTCAAACATATTGGTATACACATGTATGAGAGCCATAAAATTTGAAAATAGAACGAAAAACTGAAAAATACCCACGCATTGCGCACAAGTAAACACATACATACACACACACATACACAGAGATCGGAAAAACAATTGCAATACAGAAAGTAGTGAAAAACAGTAAGATTTTCTTTTGTTTGTATCGCAATTCAAAATTAAAGCCGCCCTCCTTTTCTTTGGGCATTTACCGTTAAGTGGCTGTAATCTCACGCGATTTGTCAAATCTGAAATTCGATTAGTCCGATGCGCACACCTTCACTGTTTGAAAATTTTTAACCCACAGTCCCAATTGGAATCCAATTGGACGGTTCCAACGCCTTTCGATAGACTTATCGTTTGTGGTGTTAATCTTATCGATTAATTAACTATGTGACAAAGAATTTAAGAATGTCCGGGGAATTTTAATCATACTTCTAAGAGTATAATTGAAAAAATAAAGCCAAAAAAATAAGTACGTACGGAATTTAAAATATGTTTGGAGGAATGAATGTATTGAGCGGGGACATGAACCATCTACAAACCAGCTGGTGTTCGTTTAGTGTTGCTAAATTAAATCAACAAAATATATCGAAAAATCGATATAGACACTTAATTTCATACTGATATCGATATATTGTTATTCTGACATATGAACAACCCTATTGAAAATCCACTGTTTCCGACGATCTAATACATAATAATTGAATTAAATACCGCTAGGAAACGCATCAGCTGTGATAGCAACAAGTAACTGGAGCAAGTCTCGTACAGCTAAAAGCAATATTTCTTCCTAAGGAATCGCATTTCAAAGCGAACGGGGCACACACCCACAGTCACGCACACAAAGGCAAAGGGGCGACAACAAAAAAAAAAGTGTGGAAAAAGCCCCCAAACGCATAGCTTTTTTTTTAATATTTATAAACATTAGAGACGCTTAAAATGCCACCAAAAGAACGCAATATTGCCATGATGGGCTACCGTTCAGTGGGTAAGTTATAATAAACTTTAGCAACTTCGTACTTCTCGACAAATGGCTGTGTTGTTGCTGTTGGCTCCGTAATTGCGTAGTATTTCGACAACAGCAACAACACTAACAACAAGGCTGACGGCATCGAATAATTCCCCATAATAATTGCGATTCACCTGCAGGAAAATCATCACTCAGCATACAGTTCGTGGAAGGCCAGTTCGTCGACTCTTATGACCCCACCATCGAGAATAGTAAGTGCGCATCTGGTTAATCACATCTAAATGGAACATAAGCTTCCTCAACTTACCTACATATACCCTATTTAATTGATTTAAAAGTTTGGATGTAATTCATTATTCTTGTTTTCTATTTTTCAAGCATTCACCAAGGTCACTCGTGTTAACTCGCAGGACTACAGTGTCAAGCTCATCGACACAGCTGGTCAGGACGAGTACAGCATATTCCCTGTGCAATACAGCATGGACTTTCATGGATATGTTTTGGTTTATTCTATAACAAGTAAAAAATCCTTTGAGGTTATTCAAATTATCTACGAGAAGCTGTTGGATGTGATGGGAAAGAAATAGTGAGTTATCAAATATCCTTTACACCTATTTTATAAAGTTTCGGTCTCTGTGCCAAATTTTCAGTGTACCTGTAGTGTTGGTGGGCAATAAAATCGATTTGCATCAGGAACGAACCGTTTCCACGGAGGAGGGCAAAAAACTGGCAGAATCCTGGCGAGCTGCATTCCTGGAAACATCCGCTAAACAAAATGAGGCAAGTGAAATTCTTTTCGTCACTTTAAACATATTAGCAACTCTTTTATATTCGCAGTCTGTGGGGGATATTTTCCACCAGCTACTAATCCTGATCGAAAACGAGAATGGAAATCCTCAGGAAAAGAGCAGCTGCCTAATATCATAAGAACCTGCATAGCTGGAATTATGGCCAAACTGTTAAGGAATGTGGCGATTCGTGATGGCAATATGAAAATCGATTATCTCTTATCTACACAGTCGGGTCCGCATGCATCAACGGGACAGGCCATGCCCCTTGTGCGCAGCAGGAAATAACTACAAAACCCTATAGCTTTAAGTTCACCAATTAACCAATATGAACCGATTTAGATGCGCTCAGCTGGTCTTTGTAGTTCGCCTATAGCGCAAAACAACAGGGTTAAGTTAGTACATTTTTCACAACAATAATTCAGTTACAAAGTTCATAAAAAAATTTACCAATATTTTTCTTTTAGTTTCAATTAAATATAATTTTCACTCTATCTACTGCAGTTTTACGTCTGGTAGTTATTTTAAGTTGGAAATGTATTGGAATTGGAGTAATGGAAATAATTTTTCAGGTATATGTTTTAATGGGCGATTAAATTAAATTTAAAATTGTAAGTGTGGGCTGTTAGGATCTTAATAGAAATTTGAATATTGGAAAATACATTTCTACATTTCGACATTTGTCCAAAACCTTAAATTTTGTTACACGTTATTTCCTCTTCTGAATCCGAATTGATGATGGAAAGTTCATCCAAAACAATTTTTACAAACAATTTCGATAATATTGACAACAGACTAATGGGAAGATATGATGTCAATTCCGTTTCTAATTTGTTAGGCTTTAGGATCATAATGATCTCTGCACATTTCCATTCTCAGTCTATTCTGAGAATTGCGTTAAATAAAAGAGTGAGAACCCGAATGCATTTTGATGGTAAACATTTTAAGGTGATTTTTTGTTATTGACGCATTTGATTTATGTCACAGCTTCTTCATATTTGATGCTTTTAATAGGTTTGATTCGAAATTCCATAGCTTTATTTAAACATAGTTAACAAATTATAAATCTTAAAATGTAAACACTCATATTTCCATTGCCTATTTATTTGGGCACCTAGAAGACAAACAGTAATGAAGGATAAAATTGTATCCTTTTTTTGAGTAGGATAACATTCCAGAAGATGGCTTAGTTTAGAAACTATTTATTAAAGTTTTTATAAATAATTAAATAAAAAGAAGTGCCCTCCTCCTCGATTCTCATAGGTTGCACTTAAGCAGGCTCGAAAAATCGGTCAAATAATTATTTTTTTTTTTTATTAAATTATTTTTTTTTTAATAATTAAATAAAATCTAGTGCCCTCCTCCTCGATTCTCATAGGCTGCACTTAAGCAGGCTCGAAAAATCGGGCAAATAACTATTTATTTTTTTGATTTAATTTTTTTTTTTTTAATAAAATGAATAAAATCTAGTGCCCTCCTCCTCGATTCTCATAGGCTGCACTTAAGCAGGCTCGAAAAATCGGGCAAATAACTATTTATTTTTTTTATTTAATTTTTTTTCAAAATATAAGTCAAAAGTGAGCTTTCCTTTTGTAGTTGTATAAGTTTAAGTTGTTGTAGTTTTATGTCAAAAGTTAGCTTTCCTTTCTTTTTTTATTTTTGAAAGGATCTGGAAAAAGTTTTGCGCTCGCACTCTGAGTAATTGCTGGACAAGATTCAGGAAATGGGCAACGAGCTAATTGACCAGAGGTGGACAGGCCAAAAATCGCACCGAACTCCTTGAACAAAAGGTCCGCAAGGCGGAACAGTCCGAGAAGTGCATTGTGCCATTCGAGACCTGGTTGACCTTGACTAAAACTTTTTAATGAATATCTTAATATCTATTTTAGTTTTTAGCAATTGAATGTATTCAATTCCATAAAGAAAATTTAAATAACAGTTTTAAGCCTACATCGATATTATTAAATTGGTCTATCGATAGGTTTCTTTCTTACTCATCTCTAAGCAACAGCTGAGAATTTCTTGTGAAAATTTGTTTGATTTGAGCATCCTTAAAATAACATCGATGGGCACAAAACGTCGGAATATCGAGGACGAGCTGTCCCGCTTCGAGGCAGAGATATCCAAACCACCTGCGCGTAATCTTTTCGTGCCAAACCAGGTGCGTCCGATCATCGCCGCCAACACATTTAACAATGTACAGCAGAAGCTGCAGCAGCACCAACCGTCAGGATCCAGACTGACAGTGCCGCCACCTCCGATTCCGCCACCACCTACGTTTATGTCGACTTTTGTTCCTACTGGCACTTCCGGCGGTTCTTCCTCATCAAATTCTGCACCCGCCAAGCCCTTGACCGCTACTCCTGTAGTGCTCAGCAGTGCTCCCAAGCTGTACCAGTGTCGGCAGTCGGTACACGTGCCAACTGTAGCTGCTGCACCTTCGATTGACATCAATGCAGTACAGTTTGATGTGACGCAGAAGCTGAAGAAACTAAAAGCGGAGAAGTCTGGTCCAAACCCTATCGCCGAGGAAGCCATCAAGGCTGCCCGAGCTTCCTCTGCTCTGCAATCGTTCCAGGTTACCGAACGTAAAAAAAAAGACCGCAAAACTGTGCGGATTGCAGGAGGTAGTGTCTGGGAGGATTCCTCGCTGGCCGACTGGCCCGATGACGACTTCAGAATTTTCTGCGGCGATCTCGGAAACGATGTTAATGACGAAGTTCTAACTCGTACTTTTAATAAGTTTCCCTCATTCCAACGAGCAAGAGTGGTGCGTGACAAGCGGACAGGGAAGAGCAAAGGATTTGGCTTTGTCAGCTTTCGGGAGCCGGCCGACTTCATTCGGGCCATGAAGGAAATGGATGGGCGTTATGTGGGAAGCCGTCCTATCAAACTACGCAAGAGCACCTGGCGACAGAGAAGTTTGGACGTGGTCAAAAAGAAGGAACGCGAAAAGCAGGTCCTTCTGCAGGCATTTAATTCAATGAACTGAATTTTAAGTACGTGGTCTGTACATCTTACTGTTTAGGCTAGTTTCGGTCGCACACACTCTTTGATGGAGCAAATTTGTTTTGGAACTTGCTGCCAAAGATGAGCAATAAAATTACTTTTAGCAATTGACATAATACGACTTTTATTGAAGTATCTACTGACTAACCCTAACCGAAAAGAGTTGACCCTAAGCGCAGCGCAGCTGTGCAACAACTTGTCTAACCATTTTTAAATTGAAAATACAGCTTCAACGGCGATGACTTGTTAAGCTAATAGGATAATAAATGGAACGCGGTTATTGACTACATAATACGTAAAGCTTTTAGTACCATTTGGATTGTTCCTTATTATTAAGCAGGGGTCTTTGCACTTCGATGCCTCCGTTAACCTGCTCTTCGTCCTCCTCCCTTGATGCTAGCCTTTGGTAATCATTTTTTCTGTTACTGGGCCACCGAACCAATGGTATACCAGCGTCTGGCCCGAAGATGGACGGATAGTACTGCCTATAGCTCACGTAACCCGCAAATAGGCCAATGATGCCGCCAAACGTGACGTCTTGCCAATGATGATGGTAATCGCAGGTGCGGCTGACGGCAACCATCAAAGCAATCATCAAAGGAATCACTGAAATGCAAAGCCTCCAGGTGTGTCCGCGTCCCCGAGCATCAAAGGCGTGCAGCTTGGCGCCCACATAATATGCAATGAACCCAAAACTGGCAAAGGCGACTAAGGATATTCATGAAAATGTAATTAATACGCGCCTTCAATACTTTTTTTTTATAAACTTACACGAGGAATGGCCGCTGGGAAAGCTCTTTCGTCCCTCGTTTATTTCACTGGGTATCCCTGTACAATTGAAGTCTAGGATTGAAACATCCCAGCCACTTTCTGTATGGTTATTTAGCACCATCACTCCATCTGGAAAGCAGCGATAGAAGTAGTCCGGCCTGGGTCGGCCAACCGTAATTTTAAGCAAACTTGTTGGGATGCCATTCATGCACAACGCCAGTGTCCAGGCCCAACTTGCAGCTCGGAAGTCCCGCCTGTCTTTGGTGAATGCGTAGAAAATCAGGGTAACCCAAAAAGGGGCTACAATCACCCAAAACAGCAGCGTTCCTCCTTTGACAAAATCCGGTCGTCGGGGATTTTTGTACAACCACAATTCTTCCTGGTGAATTTCCCTCTTGAACGCTGTCATTGTTTCCAGTGTGCTGCAAGAATGAGTAACATCAGAGACAATTTCATCTTCGTCATTCTTTGATAAGCTTACAAGAAAGTTATGACGAGCAAAATCCGAAGCACAACATCCACTGCGTCACTTAATCTCCTATTTTGATGATTGGAGATGGAAACCTGATCCTTTCTTTTCTCGGGCTGCGCGGAGCTGCTCTCGGAATTCATAGGAAGCTCGTTGCGCCACATTTCCTTTTCTGTACGACCAATATCCTCGGCGGAACTCTCGCTGAGAGTGCGTTTACCAGAGGTAGTTTCTTGACCTTCCTTTCTACTAGACATTTCGTTGGCGCACTGGGTATTGTCGGCTGTCTGGTAATGTGGGGTTCTTGTTCCCTGAATTATTAAAGAGATAAGCAAACAGCCATGTCATTAAGAGTTGCACATAATGTTAAAATAAAAGTTATTTAACTCAGTTTGTTAGAACAAAAGTATATCACAAATCTAGACTTCTTAGTCTTCCGGGAATACTTTATAAGCGACTTAATCACCTTGATGTCTGCTTCGGCAGCATTATCGGGCCTACAAGCCTTAAAGATAACGAGCATAATGTCGTATTATATACAATACTACTTGTATCCAAAATTCATTGGAGTGGTCTTTATTTATATAAGATAATTACTTTTTTTTTCTATTTTCTTTTTTACGACTATTTTAATACGCTGAGTCCACAACTTTTTTAAGATTTTCAAAATTCATAAGTAAAATAATTGAAAATTTTTTTAATTGTTGCTATTAAAATTCACAAAATTTATAACGTATTTTATTTTTGTAAAGCGTTCTTAGACTGATTAAAGAGCATTTAGTTGGCGACTAGCCCCTCCTAATCACTACACATGGTACTAACGTGCGAATTGTTCGAAACCATCCGATTTCCGCGATAAGGTACACACTTGGCATTACTTCGCGTCAATGTTTGTCATCAAAAGCACGGTTACGTGTTAACACAAACAGACGTAATATGTGGATGCAATGGCCCGACACACAGAGTTCTATTAGCTGCCGTCATAAATAATATTAGCTGACTGATCAGGCGCACCTGTTTTTGAGCCTCCCCGCTCTCAATATTTCCGTTACTGCGGTGGCGGCTACGTAAATCCGATGGATAGCTCTCTTCAAGCATTATCAGGAGATCACCTACGATACTATGAATCGACTTTGGATTTATTTGCAGTGGTGTTCACTTATTGACAAATCCGAAAGCTGCCTGGGCCGAGAGTGCCGCGATTTCAACTGGCTCGGGAATGCTAATTGCTAGGGTTTTTATAAACTTTCTCTAATCTGGCGACAGCATCGTAAAACCAAAAACCAAACAGTGAAAAACCCTCCCCGTCCCACTCTTCTTGGCAAACAACAACAATGACGATGCGACAGCTGTTTGCCGATTTGCTTAAACGGTTTCTATGAGTATTGTGGCCATTGAAAAGGTTCGGCAAGTTTACCTGTTAATTAAGCATGATCGTGGCGGCAACTGTGATTTGTCATAACATACTATACTTGTCCACGCGACAAAACATTACATTTTACAAAGTTTCCGTATTTTACGCGCCCAGCTGACTTTAGGAGTTAGAGATGGGGAGGGCTCGATAACTCTTGCTTACATGTCATCGGAAATGCCAACTCGCTATAGTAGATTTTGTTGTTGGGACATCATATGATTGAAAATTTTCTGCTTTGAGTTGCGGATGTAAATAAAAATAAATAAAGTCAAAATGACCGCCGGAAAGAATGAAAAGGAGGCTGCGGGACAGCTACTGGATGCATTGTACCTAGAAATGTTCCACCTGATTGAAGAACATACCCAGTGTCGGGTTAACCTAGAGAGGACTAACGCTAGTGGAGCTATTCTTCTGGCGAGGACTAGATTTCAACACGGAGGAAGTAATTCCGTCTCCACGGCACAGATACCCACGGAAAATAGCTCCGAGTTTAATGCCTTGTGCCGGGTAGTGGATTCGGCGGAGGGAAACGGGATCAGCGTGAAGCGACAGGCAGTGGACAAGGCCAACGGCTTCGTGGAGCCCCTTAATTGGTTCTCGTAAGTAGAGATATGACGCTAATTGGGTTATGTTGATAAATGAATGTACATTTTTTTATAGAGTTTTGCCACCAATGAGTTTACGGAATGCTGTAGCCAAATTTAAGGATTGCGTCGAGCTGGTGGCAGAGAGCACAAATCTTCAACGGCAGCTAGGAGAAGTCATTGGATGGATCGCTAAGCTACGCCAAAGTCCGGTGCTGCAATAATTATTGGAACACACTCTTATACCATGTTAAGAATAAAGTAGATTGAAAATTATAACTTAATAAAATAATGTATTTGTATGCATCAACTATATGTTGAGTAACGTTAATAAGAGGGGCCTTTGTACGCATATATGTACTTAAAAGTATGAATAAATCCATCCAAATTATTGGTACCATATAAATTCATTTAACCACGGTATAGGATTAGGATATGTGCCTAAGGGTTAATGTTCTCATATGAGCAATTAGAACTGCCACTTGCTTAGTTGCCGAGAATCCGTAAGTGGACAGGGCCGCGAATTCTATTCATCAGCTGTTTGTCAAGTCGACGAATTTTTTGCTTCGTCGTGTTCTTGGCGAAAATATAATTCGGACGCGTAATTCAGTTGTTATTTTTGCGGAGTGCACGGTGAGTAGTTTAGTTTGTTCTCTATCCATTCGCATTGATACCTTGACATTGTTAAAAATTTTTTGAAATGTATTGAAAGATGCCAGTAGCAAAAGCCCCAAATCAAAAATCAATAATTGCCATGCGAATACAAAAACTAAATTGAAACAATTAACAAGTAATGAAATATCGAATTGCAGCCTGAATAATAGAAGCATATTGTCGAAGAACATGCGAGCGGGGCGGTGGAACAAAGGCAAACGCAGATAACAGATAACAGCGACGCCCAAAAAGTGACAAACGACGACAGCGCAAGAAGAAGCAGAAGCAAACAACAGCAACAAAACCAGCTAAGCCCCACTCCCAGGCTACACACCTACTCACCCAACCAGAAACCCAACAAGCCACACGTGCCTGCGATCCACTTTGGCCATGAGCAGCGCACGGGATCAGGATCAAGAAGATCCCCCCCTGCTGCAGCTCGAGGATGAGGTGGATCTCATCGGAGACTTTGCCAAAGAGCAAGCACCGCCGTTAGCTCCGCTCCTCAATGGTTTCGATCCGAGCTCCAACCAAATGACCACAAAAGTGGAGGTGAGTGTGTATTTCCTTTTTTCAAATGGCTTTAATAACCATAAGCTTCCTTTGACAGATAAACACAATTGGAATTGGAAAGCGCAAGCAAAAGAAACGCGTTAAAAAGATTCGCCAGCCCTTGCTGTTGTCGATGGACGACGATGACGACGAAGAAGATGATGAGGAGGAGGTGTTGGTGGTTAACCAAAGGAAAACTAATGGTCTGCCACACACTGAAGCCGCTGGTGGGGATGCTGGGCATCACACACCGCAGCTGGATAGATTGGTACTCCTACATGGTGACATTACGAACACAGACGACGACGAAGGCGGCAGCGACGGCGAAGAAGTAGTGCTTTTAAAGAAGGGCGACCAACAGCAGCCACAGGTGGTTAGTCTCATCGCAAACGTTAAAGCGACAACATCGACGGCTGCATCCCCGCTAAAAAACGCAACGCATATCCGTCACCCGCACGACGAGGCCGACGATATTTGTTTAGTGCCAGAAATCGACTTTGAGGGCATGTCCACGGACGCTGGCAGCGATAACCGAGAGTCGCAACCACTTCTTGGACCTACCAGCCACGGCAGTCGAATTAGCGATCTGCTTGGTGGTTTGGGACGCGGCCACGATCACGTGGCTCCCGTTTCAAACACGTTCGGAGGTAAGTGGGCAGAAATCTGCAGACAAAGGGGCGGAAAAGTCTCTGAAGTCGTACAAGTTGCCATCTGTGGGGCTTCCATCACTATGTTTCCCCCCATCCATTTAGCATTCATCCTGCACACAAACTTGATTAGATGACTTAGTTTGTGACTTCGCTGGTCAAGAGTTGAAACCGAGGCTCTAATTTAAATTAGTTCATAAATATAAATAAGAAAAAAATTTGAAAAAAATGTAACTTAAATTGGATTAATCCAGTCAGAGGTTTTACTACATACTGCATATTTCTATGACAAAGAGCTTACTCACATCAGCTTATCGGTGCAGCAGTCTGGCGCTTAAATAGGAATGTAGTTTTTCTGTCGTCTTTTAAGATAATTTTGTATATACAAAGTTATATAAGAACATAGTATATAAATAACAATCAAAATAGCGAGCTCAATTTAAATAGCTCAATTTAAGTGAGTAAATACTTTTAGACATTCAAAAATAGGTTGTTAATGGAATTAAAAAATTTTTTTTTTATTTTTTCGTTTATTTCATTTTTATTCTTATAGTTTCAAAAACCACAAAAGCATCTACATAAAATTACTGACTCACCTCAATCAAAGTTCATTTTGTGATGAGTAATCCTCGGTCATCTGATTGCATTTCATTTTTCGAGCATTTATTACGTATTTATACGATAGTTCCTGAATGCAAATATATTTTATAATTATCTTTAGAGTATTCACTCTTCGCGCAATGACTTTCCTCATTTCACTTATTTGAAGATAAGCCAAACAGACGGATTTGAATTTTACTACCCAGTTATAAATATTGTGCTAGCTGACTGTTAATCTCTTGATATCAACCATGTCGTCTCTGCCCCAATTTTCAAATTATTTCCTACTACACTGCGCCCTTTTGGTTGCAAAAAAAAACAAAAATTTGAAATACATTTTCTGTAAATGTTGGTACACCAGCATCCAAATTCCAAGCGAAGCAAATTGCGTGTTTTTAAAGATGGAACTTGTTCTGCTGGCAACCGTTGCCGACTGGACATAGCGATACAGCGATGGCCAAGCCAACTCTTGAACAGCCCCCAGAACCACCGCTCAAGCCAGCTCTCCGCGCGGAAAATAAATCCATGAAATTCCAAGAACTACCTACGACCAGTCGCAATGCGATGCAAAGCCGAAGCTCGGTGGAGTCGGACTCGGTTCCGTATGCCTGCCACTGCTGTGAGGGCAAGTGCCAGGTGGAGGAGAAGGATTTTCTCGAGTCGGACACGGACGAGCCGCCACTGTTGGTGAATTCGCCATCAATGGCGCGTGACTCGAATGACACAGTCACCGTCCGAATAACGCGTCCTCGCTGCCAATGCGCCAACTGTCCGTTGAAAAACCTGTGTGAGTGGCCCTTATCGAAACGCTTTGGTTATGCTAATTGCGACCTGCTTCTGCATTATCAACGCCCTAAACAACCGTCCCACCTGGGCGGGCGACTATTGCATACACCAAGTAGTTCAATTTTGAAGTTTCTCCATGTCGCGTTTGTCGAATTGCAGTCGGGAGAACATTGTGCAGGAGGTGTTTACCATTTTCCAGGATTATCAGAGCGGGTTTAATGACAACTTTGACTTCATAGGTAGATTCTGGTAGCTTTCTTCATTCTACAATTTGTTTTCGTTCTGAAACGAAAATTGTATATTGTTGGCAAGAAAATGAACATCAAATTAGTGTATTTATTCCACAAATCCAAAACCCATTCACTTATAGGCTTGCAGGTTGTCCTACGTATAGTGGGCACTGCCATATGGTTTTCCTTTATCATGTCCATTTTGTCTATTTTTAACCGACAGCTGGCACGCTAAGACTGCTCATTAAAGTCAATTCCTTGACTATCCATGGGTGAATTAATAAATAATAAAGAATGTAGGTAATTTTGAAGCGAAAGAAACCCATTCGAATGAGAATCTCTCAGTCTGTTTTGAGAAACTCTTTAAGTCATGCGAATTTTTATTCTTCGCACGAACTATATAAGTATTTAAATTCTTGTACTAAATTTAAATACATAATTTTTATTTTAATTAAAAATATTTTTGTTTTTCAGATGATCCACTCTTCTCGGAAATGGTGGCCAAGGCGGAGGGAGCCATTGAGCAGGGTGTGCTGCCCGAGCGTATTTACCAGGGTAGCAGTGGTTCCTATTTCGTCAAGGATACCTCAAATGTAAGTGGAATGAGCTTATATGGACCTTGAATTGATTTATGATTGCGCTTTGATGAAGTGGGGGGCAGAAAGCCTTGGCCTTCCACTGTAAAATTTCTGTGCTCTTTTGAGCAGCGCATACATTAAAGATTCAGGCAATAGGGGAAGTCGTGCACTAAAGAGAGCTTGCAGGATTTTTGGTTTGTTCCTGGAACAGTTAATCTTAAGTAGGTCCTTATTTGATTTATTTTTATACCCGGATATTGAGAATCGGATGAGAATTGGGGAAGATATAGCCATCACTGTGGGCCCTATAAGAGAAATTCCCATTTTCAAGGGATACCATTTCGAAAAATGGACAAAAAAAATAAAAAATAATTTGTCTCAGGATTTTTATGCAGAATGGTGGGGAATCGATCCAGAAATCGTTTAAGGTATTCCGCTTGAGAATCGGATGAGAATTGGGGCGATATAGCCATCACAGTGGGCCCTATAGAGGAAAACCCCATTTTCAAGGGATTCCATCAGAAAAATGGACAAAAAATCTAAAAAATATTTTGTCTTAGGATTTTAATGCAGAATGGTGGGGAATCGATGCAGAAATCGTTTAAGGTACTCCGCTTGAGAATCGGATGTGAATTGGGGAAGATATAGTAAGAAATGACCCTACTTTCGTGTTTTTGAAGATAGAAAGTTGGAATGTTGGATTTTGGGCCATATGATCTGACCTACCAATTTTAATAAGGATCGCTCGATTATATCCTATAGCTGCATATAACTGAACAATCGAAAATATTACTTGGTGTTTGGTAAAAAAGCCAACTGTAGTATTTCTGAAGATAGAAGCTTGGGACTTTGTACTCTAATACATTGGTTTTTTAATTAAATTCTAATAAGGATCGGCCTACTATATGCGATATTTACGACAAATATTCAATTCTAACCGCAAGGGTATTTCAACTTCGGCTCTGCCCGAAGATAAGCTAACTTAAGCTCCTTTCGTTTAATATAAACTAAACTATGTTCTCTAATTTAGCATTGCTTGGCCGTGTTCAAGCCAAAAGATGAAGAACCCTACGGCAGACTTAATCCAAAGTGGACCAAATGGATGCACAAACTGTGCTGCCCCTGTTGCTTTGGCCGCGCCTGCCTGATTCCAAATCAAGGGTATGTTTTCCATCACCGTATTAAAACCGTGCTATGAACCTAATCTTTTTCCTTTGCAGGTATCTTTCCGAAGCAGGGGCGAGCTTGGTGGATCGCAAACTCAATTTAAACGTGGTGCCAAAGACCCGAGTAGTGCGACTGGTGGCCGAGAGCTTTAACTATGCCCGCATCGATCGCCAAAAAGCCAAGCTGAAGAAGCGCATCAAAGAACACTATCCTTCGGCGCACTTCAATCGAATGAGCTTACCCTTAAAGGTAGAATTGTTTTTAAACTACATTTATTAGTTAAATGCTAAAATATCGATTTGTTTCAGACCGGATCCTTCCAAATGTTTGTGGAGGGATACAAAGATGCGGACTATTGGCTGAGGCGTTTCGAAAGCGAACCCCTACCAGAGTCAGTGGCTAAAGCTTTCCAAATACAATTCGAGCGACTGGTTGTCCTGGACTACATTATCCGCAACACTGATCGGGGCAACGATAACTGGCTGATAAAATATGTAGCGCCCAAGATTTCAGCACAGGTGGAAGGCACAGGTGGCAAGTCAATGCGTGGAGTGGTGAAGCCAAAAATGCCAGATCCACCTATAGTTCCTGTGGAGAATCAACCAGACCAGAAATCTCAAGTCGAAAAGAAGAACCGGGGAGTGGGAACCGAAAAAGATAGCAGTAGCTTAACCAGCAGCGAAGATGAGCACTCGAAATTAGATCCCGCCTGGAATGTAGTGAACTCGGCCTTCATTCGGATAGCTGCCATTGATAACGGATTGGCGTTTCCTTTTAAACACCCGGACTCCTGGCGTGCATATCCGTATCATTGGGCCTGGCTTCCGCAGGCGAAAATTCCATTCAGTGAAGATATAAAGAAGCATGTTTTGCCACAACTATCTGATATGAACTTTGTCGAAGAGATTTGCACGGACCTGTTATATCTCTTTCAGCAGGATCGAGGCTTCGACAAACGCCTTTTCGAGCGACAGATGTCTGTAATGCGAGGTCAGATCCTGAACCTCACACAGGCACTCAGGGACGGAAAGTCCCCGGTGCAGCTGGTCCAAATGCCGGCCGTAATTGTGGAGCGGTACGTATTAGTTGCTTGTTACACTGATTCAAGTAATAAAAATATTTTTATATTTCATGAACTTTGGCAGGTCAAGCGGCAATCGATTCTTTTCATTTACGCAGCGCTTCCAGAATAAGAGTCCCTTTTTCTCCTGGTGGTGAGTGTAGCTATTCTGACATTACAAAAACATTTTGACGTAAATCTGATTTTATTGCAGCTAATTGAAGCGAAGTACCTTGCTAACCCCACCAAAAACCAAATCGGGCAGCCCTATTAGGCCCCACATCATCGTCGTGTCTATGCGCTTTATTGTTGTCTAGTTTATCCCATAACGTGATCAGTTGCAGCGGGCAAGAAACCATGATTTATATATTTTGTTAAATCTGTTAGATTTCTTTTGGTGAAATAAGCAATGATTTATTTAGATTATGTACGTGTTTATAGTTTTCATCAAACTTTAGAATGTTGATATAAATTTACAGAAAATTCCTTGTTTCCACAGTTTTTTGTTGTGCATAAAATATAAAATTCTGAAAAGTTCTGGATACAGATAAAAAGTAACGCTCAACCTGTTATGGGCCTTTTCATTTAATTTTTGTACATCAAACATATCAGTGAAAGAAATCAAAACTCAGTAACATTCTCTAGCATACAAAGCTTTTTTGAATTGTATAGCACAATTCTTAAAGTAAAAGTCTATTGTTATTTGTATTAATACACATTTAGTTGTTTCCCCTCATACACTAATTTAATTTATTGTAGAAATTACGGAGCATCCGGCACACCGAACTAGTTGGCGTTAAGGAGTACGTGTAAGAAAGCCCTATTCATCAAAATATAAAAGAAAATATATATAATATATATTATTAAACTGTGTGTATATATCAAAATCATTGTATTAACATGAAAAAACAAATGGATATGCAAAACAAAAAACTGTCTTTAAATTTTTTCACAGATCAACTGAAAACATGCAGAATCCCACCCCTATTCTTAACGATATCCTTAAAACTACCATTACATTCTGCAACATTCTTAAATTTAGGTAGTTACATAGAATTAGACAACAAGGCGTAATGCTATGATTAGGACAGCCAATCATCGGTAGCGTCCGATGTTAATCTTCTAACTAACGCTGCCTTTTTGGGGCTATCTGTAATTTCAATAACCTCTTGGCTACCTTTGATGGCGGTGTTAATGGCACCTTCGGTTTTTGTATCCAGTTCTTGAGATAAGTGCACTTTTTCAGGTATAGGGCTACTTTTTAATTTTGTGTTTTCAGATCCACACGTTTGTTCAGAAGCAATAGACACGCATTCCATTGGATCCTCACCATGTTCTGAGCGGCATTGGCTCAACGGACTTACAATCATCTCACTCTCAGATGCCTTCGGAACAACTCGTTTAGGTGTGGTGAGGAATGTGGATATAGACCGCTGAAATCCTGTGCTTAACATTGAGGCCGGACCTTGGTACTGATACCATTTTACGGGCACATCTCCTGTCACGAAAAGATCGCGACCAACAGGTACAGTACTGATGACTCGTTTTGGCTTCAAGAAGCGTACGAAGCGTTCTAGTTCTTTGTAACTGGAATGCTCCGAGTATTCAATGCCAATCGTGCTGATCTTTTTCCCAAAGGAAGGCTTACTATTTTTCTCCCAGCCACTTGGTCTTATTCCCAGCAACATATCGTATTGGTCCTCATATTGCGCAAAATATTCTACAAGGCACTAAAATATAGAAAACATTAACTAATCAATTTATAAAATAAAATCTTTAGGTAAAGACTATACCGGGTAACTGACTTTTCCCATGGGTATAACGTGTAAGTTTGCGTTAGACGGATCATCTGTGAGTAAAACCTGCAAATCATCCCAACCCAAGCAACTGATGGCATCGCTACGGGATCGTTCAGTCCATACTTTCAGCGAATAAGCCTCGGCAAGGGCTAGCCAAATCTTTTCCTTGCCGATTACGTAGGAGCCGCAAACAATCAGTATTCGCTTGAAAGGATTTTTCTCTATAAAAGTGCCAACCAATTGCAAAGCTCGGTCAACACTCTCTGATTGGTGGCAAAAATTATAATTTTTGTTTAAATACGTTGTATCCAAATAAAGGAGGTCTATAGTGGTGTGATTCCAAAAAATAGGCAGGGACTCCATTTCAGCGCAAGCCCGAAAATCTCCAGTGTGCAGAATACATTCTCCAGAACGTAGTTTAAAATAGAACATGACAGCTCCTGGGCAACTAGAATATTTTAAATACACAATGTTAATTATTATTATCGATTTTTAATAAGATTTCACCTACTGATTGGCGTCAATGGCAGTCACTTCCACATTATCAACCATTATCGTTTGATCTACGTCAATTTCATGAATGTATTTCTCATCGACTTTTATGAAAAGTCTCACGAGTCGGGCCGTAACAGGACTCATATAGAGGGGATGGGAGAACTTTTTCGTTAGGCCAATATAATGATCCGCATGGAAGTGGGTAAGAAAGTAATGCGTCACTCCAGCCACATCACCAAACTGAAATCCATCCACACAGAACGTTGTTCCTTCGACTACTTTGTAAGGAGGACATGGTTTTGGCTTTCTTTGTTTTGAGTTTGTGGCGGGTGTTGTTCCTGGTTTTTTAATTCTTTTCGAGGTAGTGGAGGGAGGTGTTCTTGGTTTTTGAATTTCTTTTGGTTTTCGTTTTGCTAATTCTTGACTTGTTTCTGAATTGGACAGATTGCTATCTATGCCATACGTGGAAATGGAGTAATCACTTGATTCTGGCGTAGTGAGCTTTAAAACGCCTGAATGAGATTTTTGTGTGGGAGTTGCATCTTTTTTTGTTACTTTTACTGGACTAGGCGTAGTTTCTTCCTCTTTGATTGTCAGTTCGTCGCCGTCTTCTGAACATAGATCTATAACATCTAGTTCTGAGAGATTCTCCTTGCCCTTTGCAGCTCTTCCCATCGGTACTCGCTTTTGTGGAGGGTTGTGGTCGCTGGTTGTGGAAGATGTTGTAGTCGAATCTTCGAAAAGTCGTTTGCGTCCTTTGGCACCTCCAGGTGCTTTCCGTTTCACAACTGGTGGAGATGTTTTCTTTGATGATGAAATTGGAGGAAGTGGTGTTTCCACTTTGTAGTTCTTAGCAGAGCTTTTAAAGAAAGCATCTATGCGCATCTGGCCGGGTAAGGGCGTCTTTTTGGAGGAACGCTTTACAGTGCTGCTGACTGTGATTACTCCAACATTTCCCTCTTTTTTCGTGGATTTCCTGGCTGTTGTGGCCACACGACTTTTTCGCGGGCTTTTTTTATCCGGTGTGCCTTTTCCATTGTCTTCCGTTGGTTTAGCCTCATTCGTATCTATTCTGTTATTTATATTTGCGGTAGCTTGAAGTTCTGAAAATGTTTTTAAACGAATTTTCCCAACGTTGGACATCTTTTGTAAACAAGCAGGATAAGAAGAAAGAAAAAAATAAATAAAATCGTAGAGTGACCAGAACAGATTTTCTAAAATTCTGCCTAATGGGGGGGAACCACCATTTACATGTTACAAATGTTGACAAAATATTTTATGAACGTTTATCTAAAAAAAACAGAACAGATTTCACAAAAATTAAAAAATATAGAACATTAGGGCTTATCTACAAAATAGAATAAAAAACAATGTTCACAAAAAACAGAAAAATGGGATGGTTGTGGTTTTTGAAACTATCTGCACCGAAACTTTTTATTTAAAAATGCGAAAAATAGAATATAATTATTTATTTTTAATTTTATTAATTCTAGAAAACACTTTTGATTAATAAAATAATTTTAGTCGATTTTTGTAGCGGTGTAAAAAATGTCTCACCTCGTACACTACGGCCACACTTTGCGAAGCAGTCGTTGCCTGTTTCAATTGGAATGGATATCCTGAATGAAAATGTTTCGAAAGCATCCCCAAAAACGTCGAAACCTGGCATGTCAATCGGAGGAAAGGTCCTGATTGCTGCTACAGGAGGTGTAGGCCTGGGACTGTCCATTGTGTGTGCCTCATTTGTCGCCCCCGCATTCAGGCGGATTTGTTTGCCTTACGTACCAGCTACTACCGAACAAATTCAAAATGTGCTCAGCTTCTTGCCAAGAAATACAGGTGGCAAACTGCTGGATATAGGCTCCGGAGACGGTCGTATCGTAGTAGGTAAGTTGTATGCCATTAGCGGAATACAAACCATTCATACTTAATTATGTAATTCTCGATAGCGGCAGCGCAACACAATAAGGCTCTCAAGACCGACGGCGTGGAACTGAATCCCTGGCTTGTGTACTATTCTCGCCTGGCAGCACTGCGTAATGGAGTCTCCAAGCAGGCGAGCTTTTTCCGGAGGGACCTCTGGAAATTTAACATCAAAGACTACAACTACGTAGTTATCTTCGGGGTTGAACAAATGATGCAGGATCTGGAGCATAAGCTCATTGCCGAATGTCCACACGATGCCCAGATAATCGCTTGCCGTTTTCCTCTGCCAAACATGGAGCATGTTAAGATTATCGAGGATGGTGTCAACACCGTGTGGTTTTATAAAATGGATAAAATCAACGAAAACAGTTAGCAGACTTTGTTTATTAAATACGGTAGTTTTATTGTTTTCACACTGAGAAAACAACGTTTTATATAAAATCTAGAAGGGTATCGAAGGACTGGACAGTAGAACATTCACTTTTTTCTTATAAAAATACAAAAAGGACGAGACAAGTTGAGAATGTGAAGTGGCTAGTCTGAATATAAAAGACGAAGGAACAATACAGATTTAGGCAATGAAAATGTCTCGAAAAACGATGCCAGGGCTAAAAACGACGACCCATATAAATGCACTTGGTCACCTCCTCCCGATAAATATCTACGAATCCGATCCGGGAGTAAAAAGCAACTTGACCGACATCGTGTTCAGGGATACAAACGTGAATACCGAAGCAGCCATTTGCGCGTAGAGCGGCCAATAGTACTGTAAGAAGACGCTTCATAATACCAGCATCACATTCTTCCACCTCACGCAACGTTGCTGCTTTTAAAACGGCTGGGAAGGAACCACTAACTTCCGAGGGGCACTGCTCTAAAGCCTCGCTGCTTCCATGGAACTGCTCCACGAATTGACTCACAAATGGTTTTAGATGTTCTTCGCTTTCTTGAAGGCACAGATCCTTGGGGTACTTTTCCCGGAGCTCAGTGTGCCAACACAGATCCAGGTTGCGTTGAAATATATTGACATCAAGAGCCGCGCAGGCGTACCCCACTATGCTATTGTTCTCGTCATAAGCCACAAAGCACAGCTCTGGACAAAGGGTGAGATGAGCACCCACCATTGCATCGGCCACGATATTGGACACGGGCATAGGAAGCGGGAACGTTACGTTGTTACTCGTATCCATTTCCTGCTTCCACTGCAGGTACGTGCGGGTGCACACGTCGTTGACGTTTTGTTCATCCAAATTGCAATAGGGCCGCAGAAGATAATAGTTAGCCGTAGGCTTTTCAGGAAGCTTGAACACAAACAGATCGTTGCCAGAGTCCACAGGCATGAGGCGCTGCAAGTCCGCAATGAGCCCACCCCGAAAGACCCATGGCTCCTGATCACCAGACATAAAGGCTTCCTTCCAACCTTTGCTGAACCCTGAAAACAAATTTTTAGATGTTTCTCCTAAACACAAACTATAACTTACATGTATAACTGCCCTCTGTGTAAGTGGACATATTCTGAGGAAACTGGCCGAGTGCTAGCCATTTGATATAACAGTTGAGCAATGAAAGGGCACACGAGATGTCCCACACGTACGAGTATAGTTCATGGCAAATCTCTTTGTTCTGGCAATTGGCAATCTTAATAAGCAGTTCTAGCACACCGATGCAAAAGTGGTCGAACTTCTCGCAACGTTGTAGCCACTCACTGACCTCCGGCTTGGTGCCTTTATTTGCATCACCCCCAGTGGAACGTTCGTGCAGGATCACATTCGCATTAGCCTTGAGCCAGTTAAACTCGACGAGTAGTTTTAATCCACGGCTGCCGTGTTCAAACGGCAGGTAAAAGAGATCACAAAGCAGACCCAGATCGTTGATCGTTATTTTTGAATCGAAGCCTACCACGGTTGTGCTAAAATAATGAAGATTTGTTATCAAATTCACGTACATATAGATTTTTGGCTAAATGGGCTTACTCGTTCTCATTTTCCTGGGATGACTCTAATATTTCGATTTCTTCGCGCATTTCCGCATTGGAAATTGGTGATGATGTCCCACTCTCCACATGCATGATCTTTAAAACAATAACGAAGGTATTTTAATGGAAATAAGCTTTCTAATGCATTACTTACATGAACATCGTTCACAGATTCCATAAGTACATCGTCGGCAACCAACTTGGTCACCTCGTCCTGCTCTCTGGGAGAGACCTGCGATGCTATGCTACTGCTGCATTCCATAGGCTCATTGACACCGGCACTTAAGGGGCTCAGACTGGAGTCATCCAACATGGTGTCTACACTAAGACTTGCTACAGGTTCAGGTTTCTCATCACTATCCTCCGCATGGTCTACTTTTTCCGATTCGCTCTTCTGCTCTTTATCATCGTCCTCAAATAACTCATTACCCAGGTCTAGTTCTACCGAAGCCTCAACGCTTCTAGTTTCCATAATAGGGACTGGTACAATGGATATGGGTATTTTCTTGGGCAGTTCAATATTGGAGGCAGCTGTTGTTGGAATGGGATTAATAATCTCTTCGAATGTAACCACTTTAGTGGGCGAAACCAGAGAGTTCATCACCGGATTAGATATAGGTGTCAATGTTGAGCTAACAGTGCTAAAATATACAGCATATAAGTTAAAACTAACCGAAAAATGTTAATATTTTAGAATATATAAATACCAAACATCGGCTAGAGCCTGGAGTTGAGTGGTGCTGACTTCCGGCACCGTTCGTGTGTTTGTCGACGTGGTTGTTGTGGTAGTGAGACTCATACAAGTGTTAATGCTGGGTATGATAGGAATGATGGGCATGACCATTTGCACTTGCGGCTGAGGTTTTGTGATAGGACCCCAGGCCTCTTTTTCCACAAAGAATTCCGGCAACCAATCAGCGATGGCATTTCTAAAAAATATTTTTTAGATCTTTATCATTTGAATTTTAAAAGAAAGACTTACTTCAGAGCAACTCGCGGATGGTACACGTTCTTCGAGAGGAATTCCGCCGGCAATTCTTCTTCGTTTTCAGTCTCTAATTTAATATCAGCGCAAAGTGAGCTGTCCATTTTCGAGTCCATGCTGCAGCGCGACCAAAAGGCTAACGAGTGTATGGCTATAAAGTTGCCATTGAACTCGCAGTTAGGATTGGTCATCACTCCGCGCAAATGAGGTATTAACTCGGGTGATCTTCCTACATAAGGACCGAGAAAAATTCGCTTCTGGTCGTAATCATTCGCATGCAGGTTGTCCCAAATACATGGTGGTCGGCGTAGCACCTCTGTGATTTCTTGGATCGATTCAATGGTAATAGTCTTGGAAATCACCTTGTCGCCAGTCCACAGTATGTCGATTTCGTTGTTTAGTTTCGAGCCCAGGGTGTTAAGGTACTCAGACTCTTGGACCGTGGGCACTGCCCTCGATGCGCAATACTGGGTGGGACAGAAGAGAAACTTGGGGCTGCCCAGATGGGCATATATCTCGTTAGTCACGGAAACCTGAGCGTTGGCAAATGTTTGGAACACCTCCTTGTCCGCCTTGGAAAGCTCTGATTCAATGTCGTCAAACAGCAGGGCGTAGGCCTCACAGCCAAATTGTGAAACCTGATCTAGTTTCCTCTTCAGCGTGGAAATTTCCTTTTGGTTACTGTACGTCATGTCCAGGCCGGGCGAAAGGGCGTAGTAAAAGACAATACCTGCATCCTTAGCAGCCGTGATTAGACCTGCAAACAAAAAATAAACAAGATTAACCAAAAATCTCCACCGGTCTCATTAGTATTTTCTCCGTCGCTCCCATTTGTTGAATTGAGTTCCAAAGTACATATATTTTATCCGGTGCTTACTCGACAAGTGGTCTGCCTCCTCTACCGTGTACATCTCTCTCCAGAAGGCCCGGTGCTTGTAGTCGTCCTTCGGGGCATACATGTACGAGTCCATGCCCATCGACTTGAGTTTTCGAAACAGATCTTTGCGCTGCTCCGTTGTCCAGGGCCGGCCATAGAAACCCTCAATCACGCCGCAGATAAAATTCCGCTCTCCATCCTTCTGGATATTATTTTTAGTGCCCTCCGCATCTTCCATTTTTCTTGGCCGGCGCAGTATTAGCACAAGAAGATTTGTGCAAAAAAACACAAAAGATATTTTTCCAAGACCGGATAGCCGACCTTCTCGCGTTTTTTGTAACACTGGCTAAATTTGCACATTATTCAATACTACTTTGAGCGTTGATTTAAGGGGGTTACCAGAAAACCAATTATTAATTTATTAATATTATTAATATTTAAAAAAAAAAAAAGTTTGGTTGTTCATGAATTGAACATAGTAAGTATTTAACCATTTTTTTTCTTCATGCCCAGAATAACAACACAATATATGGTAATAGATTAAGGTAGTCCTCTATCCCTTTCGGAAACACCCTTGACAGCAGACCAATGTGATGGTCTTTTCCAGCACTACCAAGCAAACGTAAATAAACCGCTGGAGAGAAGAGAGTTGAAATCGTTTATTTTATTTTATTTAATTTATTTTTATAGCCAATGCAGCGTTTTATTGTTGTGCGAAACTATCGGGAAGATGACGAGCTTAAATGCCAAGAATTGGTGCGAGATTACATAATGTCTTTCTCAAACAAGTCATTTTTTGTGTTTTGTTTTCGAGAGGTAAGTAGTCTACTTTCATGCGTGCCATATCTTTTTGAGATCATTCATTAATTAGGCCTAATTCTAATTCCAGATCACATTGCAGTTCATAGTCATTACATGGGCAGTTTTTTTCATATTCCTGGGTGTGCCTCTGCTTTTCTGTGCCCTCACGGTTCCCGGCTGCATATTTTTTCTCTTCACCGGCACCTATTTTTCTTTCTACGCCAAAGCAGTGGAGCTCATGAGGGTAGGGCTACTTACCTATAGCTTTGCTTACTTTATTAATTAAATTTGATTGTAGACAAAGCCTTCCCAGTCGTTGGTGGCCGAGTGTTATGAGCCCTTCATATTCCGCTGCTCTCCCAAGGAGGCCAGTTACCAAATATTTATAGAAAATTGTCCTTATGACGAGGCATATAAAAACAAATTCAGAAAAAGAATTGTAGCCGCAATTAGTGTGAAAAACCATCATGCTGTCTACAACGCAGCCTGGATCTATCGTTTTGGCATAGCCCAGGACTATCCACACCAAAAGATTATGGAGCCCATGGTCAAGCTAGTGGCAAAGAACTGTGAGAGTGGGGGCTATGCCTCGCTTGAAGCCACCATATCCGAGTGGCAGGAGAGCGAGCGTGACTTCTACGACGATTTTGGATTTGTTACGCGGCAGATCTACCACAAGAAGATTATCGGCAGCAGTCTTACGGTAATGAAAACGCAGTTAACCTTCAGTCTGCGCAACGATGAGGCTCTGCACAAGCAAAACTAGGCCAAGACGAATGGTGCAATATTGAAATCTCCATGTTCTGTGAAATCTAGTTTAATAGTAATGTACTTTATCTGTGAATCTAACATTCCAGTCACGTATTGCGTCCCAAACTCAAATCACACCGAATTCAAACCTAGATGGTGCTTCTCAGAAATGAAATGATACCATATGAGTACGTTTGAGTAAGTTAAGTAAAAGTTATAAGCACATTTTCTTAATCTTGAGTATCTCCCCAAAACACCATCTGTGCAAATTGCCTTTTTGTTGATTGCCTTCCTTAATGTTAAATTAATTGTAACACAAAATGACACGTTGAAACAGCTTTGTCCTGATTTATTATCTCTGGTTTATTCTTTGACATATTCTATTTAAATAAATAAAATATTTAGTAATAAATAAGTTGTTGCATAATGATTTAGCGTAGATTGGATGCCACACATCTAACGTTTCGCTTACTGCTGTGTGAATTTCTCAGCAGGTACATTAATTGCTCTTTCTTTGATGCTTCTCTAGATATTTAGCCGGTTAACAAGGTTCTTTTAATTAAAGTATAATTTAGAAAATATATTCTTTTTAAAGTTAAGATTAATATGCACTTGCGCTGCGTATAAAAAGCCATCATGCCGGACATGCAATGTTTAACTACGTGAAGTATGTATACAGTTTTTATTTGGGATTTATGTTTCTTTCATTCATAGTTTCAATATATCTTTCAGTTACAGTTTTCCGTTAGCGCAACTAATTCTTAAAAAAATAAACTGAAGCCGCCTGTAGGCAGCTCCGCACTGTAAATGTAACTATGTTTTTAAATTTAGTTTAGTTGGGTTCACTTTCATCAACTATTTAAAGCGTGTTTCAAAACTGGCTGTGAAATTAGCATAGTTTCCCATTTCGTTTTCATAATTTGTTTGTTTTGTGTTTAATGTATCTCCACTGTTGTATAGCCCTTTGCTTTTTAAGGTAAGTTGATTTCTTTTGGTTTCGTCGCTAGCAGCCTCCTCCACCCACAGACCCGGTACAGAGTACTGGGCTCCTCCCTTAGAAGAGCTTAACCCGGCGCTTTAGCTCGTTGCGGCGCCACTGGGGCAGCCTGTAAAACTCGGATCTGGCGCACTGCAAGATGTGCTCGAACTCGATGTCCGACAGATGACGCTGTTAGGAAATATTATTAATTAGTAACATTTTATGAACTTGGCTCAGTAAAACCCACCTCCAGATTGCAGCGATCTACGTCGGAAGGCAGTCGATAGTTTGTGATTAGCAGTAGGTGATAGGGATAGATCTTGGCCGGCTCGTGCACCAGCATCGAGTGCGCCATGTTGGGCAGACTGCGCCGGATGAGTCCGGCCTGCGGATAGTGGTAGGAGAGCGCCCCGGAGTATGTGCTCGAGGCGGGCAGATCTCCGCCCATCAAGGCACGTCTATCGCCGTCTGTGATTGAGTCCACCGAGGCTGAAAAGGGATTTGAATTGTCAGAATATATTTCGACTTTAGTGAAGCCGGAGTGCTCACCTTCTGATTTTCCACAGCTCAGATCCGTGCTGTGCGTCTTGTCGCCGAGACCTCCATAGGAGAAGTCCTACAGTTTGAGAAGATTTGTTGTTATTTTTGGTGACGAAAGATAATCTTTACATGCAAACAAAGGCAACCAAATAAAACAAAAAGACAGTGCATTGAAGGATACTAAGAGCTAAGCCTCAAACAAAAAAGATTCCAAAGAACTCTACGGCATAACAAGAACAGAAGCGATCTTACAGTGGCACCATGCATCGTGGCCGCAGCGGAGGTTGTGGAGCTGAATGTGTGGGAGCGTGGAGCCAGGCCGTATCCAGGCTTCGGAACATGGCGCAGCGCACTCACCACTGGGAGCAGAGTTCATGGTGGTGTGTATGTTGATGTTCATGTTGATTTTTGATGTGAATGATGCAGATGTATGAGTTCAAGTTAGTGTAGATGGGTGTTAGTTTTATTGGGGGCAGTTGGGGCAGCGGTGTGGGGGCAACAATAGCATACACACATAGATATTCGTAATAGCATAGGATAAAGATTAGGCAAACAATGAAGCAGCAGACCAACCAGTTGAATTATATAGTTTGTTAGTCAATCCAATTAATTTCACGGCCAGCCAGCACCAGCATTCAAAAGTGAAAGAGAGAAATACAAAGAGGTGCCATCAGTGAGAGGTATGTAGTTATTACAGGGATTACAGGGGGTTATATGGGTCAATATGGTTATGGATAAGCTAAAAGACACAACTGACAGCCCGGCACCAAATATCTAAACCCGATCCAAACGACTGGCAGCACTTACTGAGCTGTAACCGTTGCGTATATAGGGCAGAGTCGTCGTTTTGAATCCATATCCGGGCTTGGGCGGCGATCGGTAGGAATGTATGGCTATAAACGTAATATTGGGCTATATATAATATTGGTAGCTAAGGAACTTAATTAGCGTAAATTCGAATCGCGCGTCTAACGTACGGGATATCGAACTACTGTCTAGACGATTACCATTGTAACTGGGCGCGTTTCCCAGCGATTTGCCAAGCGAGCCGCGGTAGCTGGTCGAGCGATCGAACATCTCGTCCTCGTAGAAAGGCTTCTGGTGGTCCAGATTGCGTGAGGGAGAGGCCCCGATGGGCGATTCATACCTGAGCGATAATCAAGATTAAGATTATAAGGATAACACCATCAAAATCAGTTACTATATACCTCAATTTGTACAGAGGTTCCTTCGAGGCAGAAGGCGTCCTGGAAGCATTACGGGGATCCAAGTTGTTCTGCTTCCACTTCCTGTACTTGGCGTGCTCCTTGAGGTCCTTGGCGATCGCGGAACCGATGCCAGAGTTAAGCTTTTCTAGCTGCTCGGCTTCACGTTGAAGGCGTCTAATGGACAAAAGGAATTTTCAAAACATATTCTTAAATCTTTCAAATATTTGACTTACTGCTGCTCCTCGCCATTCTTAATCTTGCCATTCGTCTTGCCATTTTCGACATTCTCGTCCTCGTCATCTGAAACGGGTACACCCTTGTAGGTGTCACTGTAGCGCCGCCGGCGCTCAGGGTCGGTGTAAGGATACGGCGGAGCTGGGAAGTCATCCCTCTCAATCTTGGGCTGCTCTCCTGGTGGCGGCTTCTTAGCGGCCGGATAGTGAGATAGCTCAATGGGTTCCTCGTTGTTCATGCCCGGGCTCTTGGGACGGGGAGTCTCCGAACGGATGGCGTCCACCAAGACCTTCATGGCGCTGCGGGTCCTGGAGTGAGGACGCGATGGTGGACGGCTACCGGCTACGGATCCCGCATTACTTGGAGTTGGGGCATAGGAGGAGGGCCTGTGGAAGTGCGGTGAAAGCGGGGTCCTGTCATACGGATCAATCGGTTTGCGCAGGTAGTGTGGAGCATCCGTCAGATAGCTGTAGGTATAGATGCGCGATATATCCTCGCCGATCGGTCGTCCGTACTCTCGGAGTATCAGACCCGGGCTCACAGTACGATAGTGCTAAAAGAAGTGTAAGATGTAATATTAATTTTCTATTAAATAGTTATATAGAAGTGCATTGTGATTAAGTATTGCAGTTTTGGCGTGTATATTTAGAAATATACGGCGAAAAGACGAAACGATTTCAAAAATAATTGGAGAACTCATAATAAAATCATAATTAAAACAAACCTTGCGGCTAGAGGAATAAAGTGAACCATTAAAGCTCGGTGTTCTGGATCGGATGTACTGAAATCGAACGAAAAATAAAACGCAAGCTCAAAACAACTAAAATGCAAAATAAACTGAAATAATAAAATTATAAGTTTAATGTGTCTTGTGTGTGTAAGTGCAGGGGGTGGATAATTGAAATAAGCTACATATATCTTTAAATCCTTTAAAAACAAATCATAAGAAAACTGATTCATAATTTAAAATATAGCTTATTTCATTCTTAAATGAAAAATAATGAAATTTGTGTGTGATTGTTGTGCAACTTGTAGCATTCAGATTAGTAGCAAGCTCAGTAGCAGCTTAAAACGTGGGATTGTGTTGGCATCTCGTGCGGTTCTCATTGTGTTTTTAGAAGAGAGTCCGGCTCCTGAAGCTACACAGCTACCTACCATCTCGCTGAGCGCACTGGAGCTCATCCGGTCGCACTCGGTGTCTGTGAAGTTGCCGTTGGAGGCGCCGCCAGCCACCGAGGTGCTGCCTCCGCCGCCATTCAGAATAATGCCCGACTCCGATGGTCCTGGGCCGCAGCGTGGATGCCAGATGGCACTGCCTTGCAGGTACATCTCCTCGCCGTCGCCGAAGGGATCGCCGCACTTGGTGCAGCGGGCACAGGTCGGATGGAAGTGGTGGTTGTCGCCCGCCTGGAGCACCTTGCCGCTGATGAAGCGGCTGCAGTAAGCGCACTTTACTCCGTATCCCTTCTGGTAGCACTTCTCGCAGTAGGGCACCGCATCCTTGCCCATGTACTCGCCGTTGAGCACCACCTGGCAGGACTTGCACCGGAAGCAGGACACATGCCACTGCCTGTCGAGGGCCACCAAAGCCTGGCCCTCCTTGAGGAGCTCTCCGCAGCCGGCACAGTCATTGGGATCGTAGTCCTCCTTCAGATGCGCCTTCTGCGAGACCACTCCACCTGACAGTTGCTGGTGAGCGGTGGCCCGCGTCGGACTCTCCGCTGGCGGAGCTGGGGAGGAGACACCACCTCTACCGCCGTCTGTTCCTGCTCCGACTCCTCCGCTGACCGGGCCCCCGGTGACGCACTGCTCACAGAGCACTTCCTTGCCAGTATTGGTCACCTTGCTGCCGGACTTGAAGGGCTGCTTGCACTTGGAGCAGGTGAAGCACTTCTGGTGGTAGGTCTTGCCCATGGTGCTGACCACCTCGCCCTCCACGTACTGCTGGCACGTGGCGCACTTCGTGCCATAGAGTCGCTGATAGTCCGGTATGCAGTAGTAGGCATTGTCCTTTGTGAAGAATCCGCCCGTGGCCAGGGACTTCTTGCACTGGCAGCACTGGAAGCAGGCCTTGTGGAAGTGATTGTCCGCCACTCGGAGCACCTCGCCGGAGCACTTTTTCGTACATTTTGCACAGTAAATTTTTTGTTTACCTGCCAGAGATGGGGGATAAAGAGAACAGAGAAAGATTAGCGATTAGGGGGGGAACTCAATTCATGAGCTTTTGCTTTTATTCTTAATCCAATCCAATTCATTCAATTCAAGCTACAGAGCTATCGCCCGATTACGTATACGCCGCGTTGCGCTGATGTCATATGCATGTGATGCGATAATGCCCCAACCTTGCCTCATTTTGCCGCGTTCGGTCCAAAGCCCCACTCCGAATGTGTGCGATTCGGTTTGACTGTCTGTAGCTGTTACTATATTCACGCAAAGGTTTATATATCGTAT